GCCGTCGCAGCACCCGTTCGCTGACTCTGGGGTGCTCGTCCCGGTCGCCCTGGGGTGGTCACTCTGGGGGTGCTGATGTGGAGTGTGCCGGTGGTAGCCGAGGAGCAGCTTGCGGTCCAGGTGTCGCCGTTGTGCCGCCGCAGCAGCAGTCCCCGCCGGTGTCAGCCCTTCGCCTGCTCGGCCTTCCGTCCCGACCCTGCGTCTGTTCCTCTCCGACCGTCTCCTCCTCTTCCCGTCTACGGCCCTGTGTTCCCTCCACCGGACTCGTCCCCGGCCCGTCTTCCCCCTCGTTCCCCTCCAGTGTCCCCTCCCGTGTCTCCTGACCTGACTCCTCCGTCCCACGTCTGGTCTCACCGTCCCTCCCGTGCTCGTCCTCCTCGCCTGTCTTGCGCTCCCACCCTATGTTGCTTCGTTCCCACGCGTCTCGTCCTCCCCTTCTGCCGTCGCCTCCTCCGTCCTCCCTTGTTGTTGCACCCCCCCCGCTGTCTGACCACCTTCGTGCCGCTCATCCTCTTGTTCCTCGGGTTCTTGCCTCTCTCGTTACCGACCCGTCTGTTCCGGTCTCGTGCCTTGACGCTCTTTGTCGCTGCAGTCGCTGACTTCGCCTCTACCCGCCGCCTTGACTACGCCACCGCTCTGGTCTCTGACCCTGCCTGTCCTCCGTCTGTCGGGGGTGCTCCTGCCCTTGGCAGTGACGTCCTGGAGGACCGCCAGTTCGAGCTTGCTTTCCTGTCCGAGGCTGCTCCCCATCTCTGTTCCATGCTGCTAGTCCCTGAGGGTGACCCAGACGCTTTCGACATCCCGACCCCTCGCACTTACGCTGAGGCGACCTCGGGACCCTGGGCCTCGCAGTGGATAGCTGCCATGGAGCAGGAGATGGCATCTTGGAGATCCACCGGCACCTTCGTCGACGCAGTTCCCCCGCCTGGGGTGAACGTAGTCGATGGCCGCTGGCTCTTCAAGGTGAAGCGCCCTCCTGGAGAGCCGCCTGTGTTCAAGGCGAGCTATGTGGCTAGAGGCTTCAGTCAGCGCGAGGGGGTGGACTTCTTCCAGACCTTCGCTCCGACCCCGAAGACGACTACTCTTCGGGTTCTGTTACACCTAGCTGCTCAGCGTGACTACGAGCTTCACTCCCTCGACTTCTCCACTGCCTTCCTTCAGGGCAGCCTACACGAGCAGGTCTACTTGCGTCGTCCTCAGGGCTTTACTGGCACCTTCCCTCATGGGACCCAGTGGCTCCTGCGACGCCCCGTCTACGGCCTGCGCCAGGCTCCCCGTGAGTGGCACGACACTCTCCGTGCTACGCTTGCTGACCTGCAGTTCTTTCCGTCTTCCGCAGACCCCTCACTCTTCGTTCGTGCTGGCCAGACTCCGTTCTACATCCTTGTTTACGTCGACGACCTGGTCTTTGCCACAGCAGACAGGGACGCACTGGCCTCCGTGAAGGCAGAGCTGCTGAAGAGACACACGTGCACTGACCTTGGAGAACTGCGCCGCTACCTTGGCTTGCAGATCTCCAGGGACAGAGCATCGCGCACCATCACCCTGACTCAGTCACACTTGGTGCGCCAGGTCCTTCAGAGGTTCAGCCTTCAGTTCTCCTCTACACAGCCCACCCCTCTGCCTGTAGACCACAGACTCTCCGCTCCAGTGTCTGAGGAGTCGGTAGAGCCCAGCGGCCCCTACGCAGAGCTGGTGGGTTGCCTTATGTACCTGATGACTTGCACTCGCCCAGATCTCGCATACCCTCTCAGCATCCTGGCTCGCTTTGTGGCCACAAGCAGACACCGGCCGCAGCACTGGTCTGCCGCTAAGAGGGTTTTGCGTTATCTTGCTAGTACATCGGGCATGGGGTTAGTGCTAGGAGGACGCAGGCCAGTGGTCCTTACTGGACACACAGACGCTTCGTGGGCAGACGACGCTGAGACACTCAGGTCTACCCAGGGCTACTGCTTCAGCCTTGGCTCAGGTGCCGTCTCGTGGAGAGCTACCCGCTCCTCGTCTGTTGCACAGTCCAGCTGTGAGGCTGAGATCTACGCTGGTGCCATGGCGGCACAGGAGCTCCGCTGGCTGACCTTCTTGCTCACTGACTTAGGTGAGCGGCCTAGCTCTGCCCCGGTCCTGTTCGCTGACAACAGGGCCATGATCCTCCAGTGTCAGGAGCCTCGACTCGAGGGCAGAGCGAAGCATATTCAGCTGCGGTACTTCCTCCTGCGTGAGCTACAGCAGCGACGTCAGGCTCGTGTAGTACACTTGGCCTCAGGTGCCAATACAGCTGATATCTTTACGAAGGCGCTTGCGCCTAAAGATCATCAGCGGCACTGTGTACAGCTTGGTCTAGTTCCTGTAGCCTCTCACTTGCTAGGGCCTTGACTTTGTACTGTCCTTTATAAGTATACTCAGACTGGACTTGTGTCCTCTCCCAGTGGCTGGACTAGTAGTACCGCCCTGGTCTTGTTCTCGCCTTTTCTGTACTCCTTCTGACTGGTCTCTTAGACCCTTGTCTCAGAGGTTGGACTAGTAGTGCCGCCCTGAGCTGCTTGTTTAGAACATTCCCCTATGCAGTCTAGGGGGTGTGTCAAACATGTGTATTTGTTATGTTTGCATAGACTGTATAGGGTCATCTCTTAGAGGGTACAATACTTAGGTATATCTATCTGTACTCTCCCTCTATCTAATCATTCACTTCACTCAGTCTGATATGTAAGTCATGCGTTTATTCCGTTTATAAGACACCCAATTCGGGTTCTTAAACCCATTTATAGCTAAAACGCCTAGGGTTGATATGATAAGACCCATGGGTCTTCCATCCGGGCGCTGACGGTATTCTAACAAGGGGTAGGGTGAGATTGGAAGACGCGAGCTAAGGCGAGTCAACCATGCATGCGTCTTCCCTCTCGAATAGTCACCCCCCTCTCTCAGGGGTGGGATTGGAAAAGGAAGGTGGAGGCAGGAGGGCGGAGCGGAGCTTCAGGGTGGTTGGGGTGAATAGGGTGGTTTACGGAGGAGTGTGAGGGAGTGGTAGCAGTGCTAGCTAACGAGAGTGGCTCTTTCTTCGTTAGCATGTGTAAGACCCATTTCCTTTCTTCGTCGCACCTTGTTCCCCCCCTTTCCCAATGCACCATCACAGCATGCACCATCACAGTATGCACCATCACAGCATGCACCATCACAGTATGCACCATCACAGTATGCACCATCACAGCATGCACCATCACAGTATGCACCATCACAGCATGCACCATCACAGCATGCACATGGGAGCAATGCAGAGGTACCAGCCGGTCCGGTTTTTTTGCCTCGTGCTGCACTCGTTCCTTCTGGTGTCACTGGCATAGATGGGTGCTGGCGTGGATGGGCGCTGGCGCGGATGGTCATAGCATTGCTTCTGCCAGTGCACGTAGTGGTGCAGGGTGGTGAAGTCCCTCCTGTCCTGTCCCCCGGTGGTGCCAGTTGGCCAACCTCACCCTTTTTTTGATCTCACTTGCTGCTTCGCCTACGAGCCGTGGGGTTGGTTGTCGCAGAGTGGTGAAAGCGGTGGCGGGTGGTGGAGCACTGCACCCTGTGGAACAAGCAAGGGCCCGTGGAGGCGCTGCTTGCAGTGCGCCCAGGCGCCATGGTGGCGGTGGACGGAGTGGTGCAGAGCGGTGCGAGCAGTGTGGATGAGAGCAGCCTGACAGGGGAGTCCGTGCCAGCCTTGAAGGACACAGGCGTGCCCGTGTGGGCGGGCACCCTCAAAACCACCTTACCGCCTTTCCTCCGCCGTCCGCCCGTTACCCCTGTTTCTAATCCACCTCTAGCACGTCCGGCTCGCACTCATCGCCCACCTCTCTCGCCCTCCACCATGCAACCCACATCCCTCGCTGCACATCCGCCTTTGCCTGCATGCTCTGTCCTGTCAGGTCCGCCCACTCCACGCATTCCCCTCCTTGCCCGTGTCCCCTGCGTCTCCCCTCACTTTCCCAACGCCCCTCTCTCCCTGCAGGCTTCTTCACCGTGTGAGCCACGTCCCTGGCGTCTGACTCTGCAGTGGCGTGCATGGTGGCGCTCATCGAGGCAGCGCAGTCCACCCGCTCGCAAGCGCAGCGCCTTGTGGAGTCCTTTGTGTACTCGCCCTCCGTCATGTTCGGCCTGCTGCTCAGCGCCCTCGTGCCGCTCCCCATCCCCCCGGCTGACCGCTCCTACTTCCTGTGCCTCGCGCTGCTGCTGCTCGTGGTGGCCTGTTCGTGCACCCTCGTGCTGTCCACGCCTGTGGCCCTCCTCGCCTTCTGCCGCCACCAAGGGGTGCAGGGGGTGCAGGAGGTGCAGAGGGTAGTGGTTGCCACTGATGTGGCAGCCAGCACCGGTTCAGCTTCCACTTGCAGCCGTGCATGCAGCAATAGCGGTGCTGGGTCATGTGGCAAAGGCACTGGGTCATGTGGCAAAGACGCTGGGGCATGTGGCAAAGACGCTGGGTCATGTGGCAAAGACGCTGGGGCATGTGGCAAAGACGCTGGGTCATGTGGCAAAGACCCTGGGGCATGTGGCAAAAACGCTCGGGCATGTGGCAGAGACGCTGGGGCATGTGGCAAAGTTGCTGGGGCATGTGGCAAAGTTGCTGGGGCATGTGGCAAAGATGCTGGGGCATGTGGCAAAGATGCTGGGGCATGTGGCACGATTCCAACCAGCACAGGTTGCTGCAAGGGCGCTGGTTGTGGTGGGGGAGAAGCAAGCAGAGCAGCAGATGATGGTGTACTCCCTGACAAGCATGCTGCTGAAAGGGGGTGTGGCAAGGCAGCAGAGAGCGAGCGAGGTGGCGTGAGTGGGTTTCACACAGTGGCGGGGGAGTGGGTAGAGGCGGTGGTGGGGGGGAGACGAGTGCAGGTGGGCAACGAGATGGCGCTGCACATGCGACGGACGCAAGGTGAGATGCATGGACGCATGGTGACATGCATGGACGCATGGTGACATGCATGGACGCATGGTGACATGCATGGACACATGCTGAGATGCATGGACGCACGGTGTGGTGACATGCATGGACGCATGGTGAGATGCATGGACGCATGGTGACATGCATGGACGCATGGTGAGATGCATGGACACATGCTGAGATGCATGGACGCATGGTGTGGTGACATGCATGGACGCATGGTGAGATGCATGGACGCATGGTGACATGCATGTACGCATGGTGAGATGCTCGAGATTGACAAAGAAGCATTCGGAAGGCCATTCTTTTTCGAGACGCACGATGCATGCAGCACCATGCGTGCAGCACCATGCATGCAGCACCATGCGTGCAGCACCATGCATGCAGCACCATGCGTGCAGCACCATGCATGCAGCACCATGCATGCAGCACCATGCGTGCAGCACCATGCATGCAGCACCATGCGTGCAGCACCATGCATGCAGCACCATGCGTGCAGCACCATGCGTGCAGCACCATGGGTGTCAGTCAGACCAACCCGGCCTTAACTGATGACAGAATCCAAGCTCTGCCATTGCCTTCATTAGGGCATCAATACCCTTCCCTCCATATCTCCATTCCTTTTCCCCCATCCCTTCGCCTTCCCACACCTCCACGTCGCTACGCCTTCCCACACCTCCACGTCGCTACGCCTTCCCACACCTCCACGTTGCTACGCCTTCCCCTCTATGCGCCATGGCCCAACCCAACGATGGTGCACCAGCCACTGCGCCCTAGCCAAACACAAGCTCAGCCTGCCACACAGCGGAGTGGCGCTCCCAAAGCGCCCACCACTCCTCCCTGCGCCTCTCCCCCTCCCCAGCCTCACCAGCCGTCAAGCCCTCCCTTATCGCTTACCGGTGCGACCCGTCTCACACCTCTCCCCCCTCCGTCTCCAACCTCCCCACCCATGCGTGCCGCAGCCATCCCTTTCTCCCTTCTCCCACTGGTCTGAGACACCACAGCCTCGCCTCCCTCCTCGGTATGGGCGGCACTCCCAATGATCGCCCTGGCATGTCTCACCACCCCCGCCCTCCTCCACTCCTCCAACCTCCCCCTGCTATGTTTCCACCAGACATCCCCCCCTAGCTGCTCGCCCACTGGCTGCACCTCGGGGCCATGGTGACGTGGCTCGATGTGGACAGCCATCCCCAAGGCAGCCATTGCCACCGCTGACTCGCTTCGGCCCGAAGCAGCTGAGGTGGCAGGGCAGCTGGTGCGGGAGCTGGGGTTGCACGTGGCCGTGCTGACAAGCAACAACCCCGGGGCCGCCCGCCGCGTGAAGTGGTAGGTGGGGCACGAGGGGGGGAATGAGGGGGGCAGAGGGGGGAGGGAGGGGGGTATGTTGGTTGTGGGGTTTCCATTATCGGAAGGAGGCTGCACGTACTAGGGCCAGTATACGCGAGAGCGTGGGTGGGTGGAAGGACGATTTAAGGGTTGACGTGGGATTGTGGCCCTCAAAGGCTGTGAGAGACACCCTAGGTAGAGATAGGCGTCCCCCCACATTTCCCGTGCAAGGAACAAAGTGTGTCAGCCTACTTGCAGCACTTTTGGTTGCCGTTCACTGCCCTATCCACTATCCACTCACACGACTGCTCTCACGGGCATCAGGACCTGGGCAGTCGCCGCGCCACGACAGCTGGCAGGTGGATGCTGTGTGTGATGAGCAGCATGGCGACCAGGAGATGGCAGCAGCGTCCCTTGCCATCTCGCATCTCCCTCTTCCACGAACAGCAGCGTTTAGCCGACTTCCAACCTTTGTCGTTCCCCTTTTTTTCTCCTCCCTCGCCTACCTTGCTCCAACCCACAACCTTCCCCTTGCTCCGTCCCTGCCCTCAGTCCCTCCCTCCGTCCCTGCCCTCAGCTGCACCCGGCAGTGGAGGTGCGCGCTCACCTGCTGCCCGAGGACAAGGTGGCGGCGGTGGCAGCGCTCAAGGCGGCCCATGGCGCCACGTGCATGGTGGTCGACGCCATCAACGACGCGCCCGCCCTCGCCGCCCCGCTGATGTCAGCGCCGCCATGGGCACCATCGCGTCCGCGTCAGTCAGCAATGGAGGCTGCTGTCGTGGCGCTGATGTCAGATGACCTGCGCCAGCTGGCGCGGGCGCGGGCGCTGTGGCTGGGGCGGGCGGTGCAGTGGGTGGTGTGTGAGAATGTGGCGGTGTCGGTGCTAGTAAAGGGCACCGTGCTGGGGCTGGCTGTGGCCGGCCGCGCGCAGCTGTGGCTGGCCATGCTGGCAGACGTGGGCACGAGCCTCACGGTGGTGGGCAACTCGCTGCGGCTGCTGAGGCGAGGGGCGGTGGAGGGGTGCTGGTGGGGCGGGTGGTGACCATGGTGCCATTGCGAGGAGATGGTCGTACGCGGCATGGTTCTGGGTGCCCTCTCACTCGTCTCACCAGAAGCGAGATGGCGTTGTGGCCTGCTCTGAGGCCAAACGGCATTCGATTCGCTACCGACCATCGCTTCAGCTTTCGCGTCAAGTGGCGACTCCTATTTAGGGTAACGTTGGCGACAACGAGAATAAGGGATTTCGCTTTAGCTTCCGTCGCAACGAGAAACCGCGATCCGCTGTTGACTTGTGTAGGATGAATTGGCGGCGACGATCAGAGATGCTCGCAGTGCTGGGCCTTCGGGAGACTTGTCTGTGATAAGGGCTGGGGTAAAGCCGACGAGGAAGACTCTCTGACTCGATCGCCCCTCATGATCAGTCTTGCAGTGGGGGTTCTATGTAACCAACGTGGCAGATCGAACTTCCGATCCGAACTTGTAGCAGGTACTTGTAGGGAGTGCTTGCGCTGGGGAATCGAAAGTGGACTTTTGGAGGAGTCGAACCCCCGTCTCCTGGGTACCCAGCTTGGACGCCCTCACACCAATAGCTGCCGCAACCAACAATGTCGAAAAGACACGTGGCAATCTCAACCCACAACAGAGTAATATACGCAACCACATGCTTGCAATATATCTCAATTCTTTACCTGTCAGCATCATACTTACCTGGGCGGGGTCAATCGGTGATCATGGAGGCCGATGGCCTAGGGGTGGGCCCGCCATTGCACTTCGGCCGGCCCTGTTCCTAGCACGCCGGAACTCCCGGTGATGCACGTCATTATTTGTGGCAGAGGGGGCTCGCGTTCGCGCGGCCCCCTACCAACTGAAACCTGAAATGGGATTTAAAACTGCGGTGAAGTATAGCTGTAAGGTTCAATTTCATAAGTTGTAAAGCCAGGTTGCCCGGGAGGAAAGTGCTGCGCTCGCCAAAATCTGTGCAAAAACGTGAACCAGAATGGTGCACTCCAAACCTAGAAAGTTGTCACTCTGCTACCTGTGCATTTGATTCCCCTCGCCTTGTTTCCTTTGTCAAACATTCTTCTGTATGTTTAGTAGACAACATAGGGTCTTGTAATAGAGAGTACAACCTCTCAAAGAAGATTAGGACACTAGCTAGGTAGCTAGGATGAAGGAACGTAGGTATATCAAACCTAGAATTGAATAATGTGAGAGAGAGAGTACACAAACATATACCTAAATGTTGTACTCTCTAGAAGGTGACCCTATACAGTCTATACGAACATGATAACTACACATGTTTGACACACCCCCTGGACTGCATAGGGGAATGTTCTAGACAAGTAGCTCAGGGTGGCACTACTAGTCCAGCCTCTGAGACAAGGGTCTAAAAGACCAGTCAGAAGGAGTACAGACAAGGCAAGAACGAGTACAGGGCGGCACTACTAGTCCAACCACTGTGAGAGGACACAAGTCCAGTCTGAGTGTATACATATATATATATATATACGACAGTACAAAGTCAAGGCCCGAGTAAGTGAGAGACTACAGGAACCAGACCAAGCTGTAAACAGTGCCGCTGATGATCTTTAGGCGCAAGCGCCTTCGTAAAGATATCAGCTGTGTAGGCACCGGAGGCCAAGTGTACTACGCGAGCCTGGCGCCGCTGCTGTAGCTCGCGCAGGAGGAAGTACCGCAGCTGGATGTGCTTCGCTCTGCCCTCGAGTCGAGGCTCCTGACACAGGAGAATCATGGCCCTATTGTCAGCGTACAGGACCGGGGCAGAGCTAGGCCGCTCACCTAAGTCAGTGAGCAAGAAGGTCAGCCAGCGGAGCTCCTGTGCCGCCATGGCACCGGCGTAGATCTCAGCCTCACAGCTGGACTGGGCAACCGACGAGGAGCGGGTAGCTCTCCACGAGACAGCACCTGAGCCAAGGCTAAAGCAGTAGCCCTGGGAAGACCTGAGCGTCTCGGCGTCGTCTGCCCAAGAAGCGTCTGTGTGTCCAGTAAGGACCACTGGCCTGCGTCCGCCTAGCACTAACCCCATGCCCGATGTACTTGCAAGATAACGCAAAACCCTCTTAGCGGCAGACCAGTGCTGAGGTCGGTGTCTGCCTGTGGCCACAAAACGAGCCAGGATGCTGAGAGGGTATGCGAGATCTGGGCGAGTGCAAGTCATCAGGTACATGAGGCAACCCACTAGCTCAGCGTAAGGACCACTGGGATCTACCGACTCCTCAGGAACTGGAGCGGAGAGTCTGTGGTCCAGAGGAAGAGGGGTGGGCTGTGCGGAGGAGAACTGAAGGCCGAACCTCTGAAGGACCTGGCGCACCAAGTGTGACTGAGTCAGGGTGATGGTGCGGGCGGCTCTGTCCCTGGAGATCTGCAAGCCAAGGTAACGGCGCAGCTCTCCAAGGTCAGTGCAGGTGTGTCTCTTCAGCAGCTCTGCCTTCACGGAGGCCAGTGCGTCCCTGTCAGCTGTGGCAAAGACCAGGTCGTCTACGTAGACGAGGATGTAGAACGGAGTCGAGCCAGCACGAACGAAGAACGAGGGGTCTGCAGAGGACGGAAAGAACTGCAGGTCAGCAAGAGTAGCACGCAGCGTGTCGTGCCACTCACGAGGCGCCTGGCGCAGGCCGTAGACTGGGCGCCGCAGAAGCCACTGGGTCCCAGGGGGGAAGGTGCCAGTAAAGCCCTGAGGACGACGCAGGTAGACCTGCTCGTGAAGGCTGCCCTGAAGAAAGGCAGTGGAGAAGTCGAGGGAGTGAAGCTCGTAGTCACGCTGAGCCGCTACGTGTAGCAGAACCCGAAGAGTAGTCATCTTCGGGGTAGGAGCGAAAGTCTGAAAGAAGTCCACCCCCTCGCGCTGACTGAAGCCTCTGGCCACGTAACGCGCCTTGAACACAGGCGGCTCTCCAGGAGGGCGCTTCACCTTGAAGAGCCAACGGCCATCGACCACGTTCACCCCAGGTGGGGGAACTGCGTCGACGAAGGTGCCGGTGGATCTCCAAGATGCCATCTCCTGCTCCATGGCAGCTATCCACTGAGAGGCCCAAGGTCCCGAAACCGCCTCAGCGTAAGTACGAGGGGTCGGGATGTCAAAAGCGTCTGGGTTACCCTCAGGGACTAGCAGCATGGAACAGAGATGGGGAGCAGCCTCGGACAGGAAAGCAAGCTCAAACTGGCGGTCCTCCAGGACGTCACTGCCGAGGGCAGGAGCACCCCCGACAGACGGAGGACAGGCAGGGTCAGAGACCAGAGCGGAGGCGTAGTCAAGGCGGCGGGTAGAGGCGAAGTCAGCGACCGCAGCGACAAGGGCGTCAAGACTCGACACTGGAACAGACGGGTCGGTAACGAGAGAGGCAAGGACCCGAGGAACAAGAGGACGAGCGGCACGAAAGTAGTCAGACAGAGGAGGAGACGCAACGACAAGAGAGGACGGAGGAGGAGACGGGAGGAGGGGAGGACGAGACGCGTGGGAGCGGAGCAACATAGGGTGAGTGCGCGGGACGGGGGAGACAGGACGAGCACGGGAGGGGCGGCGAGACCAGACGTGAGAGGGCGGCGTCGGGTCGGGAGACAGAGGAGGGGACACGGGTGGGGAACGAGGGGGAAAACGAGCCGGGGACGAGTCCGGCGGAGGGAACACGGGGCCGTAGACGGGAAGAGGGGGAGACGGCCGGAGAGGAACAGGCGCAGGGTCAGGGGACGGAAGGCCGAGCAGACGGAGGGCGGACACCGGCGGGGACTGCTGCTGCGGCGACACAACACCAACGCCAGGGCCACAAGCTGCGCGACGGCTACCTCCCGAACCCTCCACACCGGCACCCCCAGAAGGGACACCCCCAGAGCCCGAAACACCGCCAGCACCGGTACCACCCCCAGGCCCGCGGGGACAAGCCACGACAGGAGCCCCGGGACGAGTACCCACCTCAACTCCAGCACCCCCAGAGTCCACAAACAGCGGCAGCGACGACGGCGGCGGCGGCGGCGGCTGCAGCGACGGCCTCGACGGCGGCGGCGGCGGAGACGACGGCTGCAGCAGCTGCGGCGACGGCGGCTGCGGAGGCGGTGGAGGAGGAGACACCGGGGGAGGGACAGACGGCGAGGACTGCGCCAAAGGACTACCAGAGTCAGAAGACTCGTCGACCGGAACGACCGACGGGAGGGGGGTGACGTGAGACACACCAGAGGGGGCCGGACGGGGGGGCGGGGGGGGGGAGGGGCAGGGGCCACCAGGGAGGGAGGAACCAGGAACAGGGGGGGAGTAACCGGGGGACCACGGTGGGGAAAGCGGCGGAAGAAGGAGACGGACTCGTCAAAGGTGACGTCGCGAGAGTGAAAGAAACGGTGAGACGGCGGGTGGTAGAAGTGCCAGTCGGACGCGTCAAGGGGGAAACCGAGGAAGACGCAGGGGAGGGTGCGGGCAGTGAGCTTGTCCGTGCCAGAGGCACGAACGTGAGCAAGGCAGCCCCAGACGTGGAACGCAGACGCGTCACCAGGGGACCCGGTCCACAGAAGGGTCGGCGAAACCTGCGGCCGCTGGGGGTGCGGCCACAGGTTAAGCTGGTGAGCGGCGTAGCGCACGGCGAACGGCCACAGAAAATGGGGTGCACCGGCGTGGATCATGGAGGTGCGAGCCACCTCCATGACCAAACCGATGCGTCGCTCAGCGACCCCATTCTGCTGCGGGGAGTCCGGCAGGGTAAACGTCTGGGTGATGCCCTCCGCACGACAGAAGCGACCAAGGACACCTGAGGCGAACTCGCCACCCCGGTCGGAGTGGAGGCGCAAGGCAGGGAGACCGCGGTGGAGACGAGCAGAGACAAGCCAGGGGATGAGAACGTCAGGCACGTCGGCCTTCCGCTCCAGGGGAAAGACGGTGGTGTAACGTGTGAAGTCGTCGACAAGCACTAGGAAGAAGCGCTCGCGACGCGGCCCATGGACCGGGGCTGGGCCCCAGACGTCCATGTGCAGAGTCTGCAGGGGTGCGGTGGTAGGGGGAAAAGAGGAGGAGTGAGGGGCACGGCGGAGCCGGCCCTCGACACAAGGCGTGCACGGTGGGGCGGGGGATGAGGGAAACTCAGGGAACGAACCGGGGAGACCAAGGACGAGACCGTGCTGGGACATGTGACGCAGACGCGGGAGTGCAGGGTGACCAAGGCGGTGGTGCCAAAGGAGAGTCGGATGAGTGAGGGACCGACAGGAGCACGCAGCAGCAACCTGGGTGGACGCAGCTACCTGGGGGGAAGACCCAGCCGGGGACGTCGCGGTGTCAAGTGTGAACAGGCCGGACACCGGGTCCCGGGGGAAAGTGGTAAGGGGGGCACCAGTGGCGGCCTCGGTACAGACAGCATACCGCTCGTGACCAGGGAACGTAGTGGTGACGCCAAGGTCCTGGAGGCAGCCGACACCAACTAGGTTCCTGGAGAACGAGGGGATATGCAGACCGGTGAGCGAACCTGAAGGAACCGCCGGACAGGGAAGGGAGGTGGAACTGCGGGCAAAGACGGGACCACCGGAGGGGTCAGCAAGAGTAACTGCAGCAGGAACAGGCAGCGGCGTCAGCGTCGTGGAGTCGCGGAAGAAACACCGGGAGGCGCCAGAGTCCAAGGTGAAGGAAAGCGCAGCAGTCGCGCGGGGCGACAGTGAAGCGGTGGAAGCACCGAGGCTAAGCAAAGCAGGAGATCCTACGCCTGACGCAGCAGGGGAGTCTACGCTAGGCACAGCTACACTAGGCAACACGGGGTAATAAGAGGGAAGCACACTAGAGTCATCGGCATACATCACATGCAAGGCTGCTACAATGGCATCCATGTCCAAGTCAAAAATCCGAATGCTACGCCTAAGCAAGCTGTGCCAGTCCGGGAGGTCGGGCGCCGGGCCAAAGCGCTGGCGGAACAGGTCGTCCAGACGACGAAAACAGCGAGGAGTGGAATGACCGATCTTACCGCAAACGAAGCCGCGGCGAGGACCGGTCTGGATCTGGTACTGACAGGGCCCGCCTCCAGAACCACCACCCGGTGCACCACCACGCGCACGACCACCACCAGCTCCAGGCCACCCAGGCGGGAGAGCACTCGCCGGCCTCGTCTGCGGCGGCTGCTGCGGCTGCTGCGGAGGCTGCTGCTGCTGCGGCTGCTGCAACGGTGGAGGCAGCGGGGCAGCTGGACCGGGCAGGGTCCCCACGTCCGCACCGGCACCGGACGACCCGCCTCCACCACTACCCCCACCCGCACCCCCGCCACCTCCGCCGCTCCCAACCTTGGGGCGGCGGCCCTTCCCCGAGCGGGACTGCACTGCAGCAGCAGTCTCAGCCACAGCGACAGAGCCGTCGGAGAAGGTACACTGAGCGGGGGCACAACCCTGAAAGATAGGGACCGGTACTGTACCGCTCGCCTGGGCTATGGAGCGGTGACGAGTCTCTATGGCAGTCAGGGTGTCAACAAAGTCGGTGAGGGTGAGAGCAGCAGGGTGGATGCTAAGGAACTGGTCGCGGGCGGCGGCAAGGCGGTCAGGGAGGCGGGTGGCAAGGAGGTAGAGGGTAGAGGTCATGGGAGGCTGGTGGACTCTAAGCTGTGCATCAGTGCAGGCAGCGCGCCAGGCCTCATCTATCGAGCGCAGGTGGGCAGCGAGGTCAGAGACAGTGGGAAAGGACGCCAGGTCAGGAAAGAGCAGGGGGAGGATCAGGCGACCCACTGAGGCAGCAGGAGGGGTAGAATAGCGCTTGATGACAGCATCGAGGTAGGCCTGGGCGGTAGTAATGGTTCTAAAGCGAGGGCGCTCAAGGGGGGGGAGGGCATTGCTAATGGCGAGCTGAGCAAGGGCATCGCGGGAAAGCCAGACAGAGCGGGCAAGGGCAGCGGCGGCAGTGGACTCGCGCTCAGCGGGCGTGGGATCAGCAGGCAGCACAGCAGGGGGGTCAGGGCAGGGGAGCATACCGTCTAGGTGTGCAGAAAGCGGGTGGCCGTCCTGCCGCTGACCAGTGAGGTGGCGGCGAAGGTCAGCCAACCACGCCTCGAACTCCAGAGGCTGACCCTCAGCATCAAAACGAAGCTCAGCAGCCATGAGGGGCAGTGGAGGACAGTGGAGTGCGGTGTAGTGCTGTGCAGTGCGGTGCAGGGCGGTGCAGTGCGGTCCAGTGCGGTGCAGTGCGATGCAGTGCGGTGCAGTGCGGTTCAGTGCGGTCAGTGCGGTTCAGTGAGGTGCAATGCGGTGCAAGGCGGAGCAGGAAAGTGCAGGAGGGTGCAAAGTGGTGCGGGGAACGGGGGACAGTACCAGGAAGTATGGAGGGCCGGGGCAGGCGCGACGGGGCCGGGCAGGCGCGACGGGGCCGGGCAGGCACGTCGAGGCCGGGCAGGCGCGACGGGGCCGGGCAGGCGCGACGGGGCCGGGCGGCTGCGACGGGGCCGGGCGGCTGCGACGGGGCCGGGCGGCAGCGACAAGGCCGGGCGGCAGCTACGAGGCCGGGCGGCTGCGACGGGGCCGGGCGGCTGCGACGGGGCCGGGCGGCTGCGACGGGGCCGGGCGGCTGCGACGGGGCCGGGCGGCAGCGACAAGGCCGGGCGGCAGCTACGAGGCCGGGCGGCAGCGACAGGGCCGGGCGGCAGCTACGAGGCCGGGCGGCAGCGACGGGGCCGGGCAGGACACAGCAGGGCCGGGCGGGGGCGACGGGGCCGGGCGGGCGCGACGGGGCCGGGCAGGTGCGACAGGGGCCGGGCAGCTGCGACAGGGGCAGGGCGGGCGCCACGGGGCCGAGAGGCCGCGACAGGGCCGAGCTGGGGCGACGGGGCCGAGCAGGGGCGACGGGGCCGAGCAGGGGCGACGGGGCCCAGGAGGGTGGATACGGGGCCCAGGGAGGAGCGCGGCAGGGCCCAGGAGGGGCGCAACAGGCCCAGGAGGGGCGCTACGGGCCCAGGAGGGGCGCAATGGGGGCCCAGGAGGGGCGCGGCGGGGCCCAGGAGGGGCGCAATGGGGGGGGCCCAGGAGGGGCGCTACGGGCCCAGGAGGGGCACTACGGGCCTAGGAGGGGCGCGACGGGGCCTGGGAGGGGCACGACGGGGCCCAGGAGGGGCGCTACAGGGCCCAGGGAGGGCGCGACGGGTCCCAGTAAGGGCGCTACGGAGCCCAGGAGGGGCGCGACGGGGCCTGGGAGGGGCGTTACGAAGCCCAGGAGGGGCGCTACGAAGCCCAGGAGGGGCGCGACGAGGCCCAGGAGGGGCGCTACGGGGCGCGACGGGGCCTGTGAGGAGCGCGACGGGGCCCAGGAGGGGCGCTAAGGGGCGCGACGGGGCCCTGGAGGGGCGCTACGGGGCCCAGGAGGGGCGCTACGGGGCCCAGGAGGGGCGCTAGGGGGCGCGACGGGGCCCTGGAGGGGCGCTACAGAGCCCTGGAGGGGCGCGACGGGGGCCTGGAGGGGCGTTACGAAGCCCTGGAAGGGGGGCGCGACGGGGCCTGGAGGGGCGCTACGAGGCCCTGGAAGGGGCGCGACGGGGCTAGGGGGGAGGGGTCGCGACTGGGCTCAGGAGGGGCGAGGCGAGGCTAGGAGACGCGACGGGAGGAGCGGAAGCGGTAGGTGGGGGGGGGGGTCGAAACCTACTCGTGATACCATAACAAACCTAGAATTGAATAATGTGAGAGAGAGAGTACACAAACATATACCTAAATGTTGTACTCTCTAGAAGGTGACCCTATACAGTCTATACAAACATGATAACTACACATGTTTGACACAAACCGCAGCTGTGAAGCGCAGCAGGAAATTGGTTCAGAGTGCACTAATGTGGGATGAGGCAAGGGATTTATACCTTTTTTGCACGGAGATTGAGGGGGATGGGCTGGGGCTGACACTCTGGAGTGCGGTGAGGAAGGGAAAAGGAAGGGGTGTTATGCTCTTGCATGCGTGTCAGCCAAGGGCAGGAACAGAAGATTGGAAGGATCCCAAAGTGAAAGAGAAGTTCTAGAACACAGGCTGGAAGGGTGGAACTCTCCTTCATGCTGCTGCCTGTTCAAAAAGTGATGGCTGGTGCAAGCCCATCTGATCATGCTGGGGTAGCACTGATCAGAATGTTTAAGAAACATGGGGCAATTTGTGTGGCTAGCTCACGGTCAACAAGGTTGTAGTAAATTACATCCTTTCTAAAATGGAGTGTACAATACTGGTTTATCATGACAATAAGAGGATGTCAACTATAGATGAGAAGCATTAAAAGATGCGAATGATGAGAGTATAAGTAAAAGTGAGTCTTAACTGTGTTCAGATAAGTGCAGTCCCGTATCTATGGCGCGTACAGCGCACCTGTTGCTCGTCAATCATTCTCTTAGTCGCCGAACCACATCAACAGCCAATCAGGGGTAGTGGCGGCCGCTGCAGCTCCCCGTCGCTCTCGTGCGGCACCGCAGCCCCTGCTTCGGGGAAGCCCAGGCTGCAGCACCCGCTGCTTCGGCACACCCGAGGTGCGGCTTGGGCAGGACCCAGGGTGTGCGTTGGCCCATTTCGCCGAGCCCAAATCTTGCTCGTCCAATCAAGTCACTTCGACTCACCTTGGGTTTGCCACGCTCAGGACTTCCCTATGGATGATATCACAACTCACAGGTTCCAGGAGGGGTCATTTGCTGCTGCGCCCCACCTTGGTTCTTGCTGCTGGTGCTGAGCCTAATGAGCAGGGCCCCCCAGAAAGGTATTACTGTAGGTACTCTAGCCTACTCTGGGACGGCAAGTTGAGGGAGAAATCTAGGAAGAAAACGTACTGAAAGTGTTGACATAATGTGAGGCGTTGCAATGCCGTTCTAGATGCCCTTGAAACGACGGTCGTCTGTAAACTCACGAAACGTCTTCTACCAGCTCCCCTAAGAGCTTAGCCTATGAATCTGCGATGTTGCGGTTTTCTCCCAACTATTTAATCTTACGACCAGTTTGTTAATCTCCGAAACTAGCTATTTGACGCTTTGGTCCTGAGAAATGGGGGCGAAGCTTCAGGTGCAGCTGCTGCAGGCTCGGAACCTGGCGGCGAAGGATAGCAATGGCTTCAGCGACCCGTTCGTGCGGATGCAGGTCGGCCGGAGCAAAGTGCGCAGCAGCACGGTGTATAAGAACCTCAACCCCACGTGGAACGAGGAGTTTCTATTTAGAACGGATAACCTTGAAACGGATGTTCTCCTCGTCACCGTATGGGACGAGGATTACTTAGGAAAGGCGGATTTTTTGGGGCAGATGTCGGTGCCGGTGGCTGCGGTGGTTGCTGCGGAAGGGAAGAGCCTCCCGCCGACGTGGTATCTGCTCAAGAAGAAGAGCGAGCGATCTCGCTCCTTCGTCTCAGGTCAGGAGAGTTCCCTTTTAGCTTGAGTCGCATGCTTCGTAGGAGATGTCGACAGGAAGAGATACGAATGCATTAGCGATGCTGTGTTTGCGGAATTGCATGTCCGGTAGAGCTTTGACTCTCCTCAGTCACTGCTTGGCGTCGGCCAGCCTGGAGCGGACGAGCCCTGTACCACGGCGTTCCGCGCCCTGATCACGTCGTTTCGCGCCTTTTATCATGGCGTTTCACGCCAGATTACGGCAGATTACGGCAGATTACGGCAGATTACGCCTCCATCACGGCATTTCACGCCATCATCATGGTCGTGGCTTTACCATGCATGCACTCATGAGCTTGATCCTGCGTGAGGAGTCTATTTTTGAGTTCATCATGCATGCATGCATGAGTCTAATAGACTCACCATGCATGCACTCATGAGTTTGATCCTCCATAACGAGTGAATCGCCCGGTTTCTCTCTCCCCCTCCCCCAACGCCATTCCCACTGTTTCCGCAGGCGAAATCCTCATGGAGGTGTCCCTATGGGGCCTCGTGTCGCACAAGGCCGTCTCCCAAACCGCCAGTCCTAACAGCTCAACCGCCGTCTCCCCATACTCCGTCTCCCCTTTTTCCACCACCCCTTTCTCCATCACGCCCCCTTCCACCTCGCAAACCCCCTCGCTCCCCCTCCTCACCTCCTCCTCCTCGTCCACGCCTTCCTCCCTCGCGTCCACTCCCGCCGTCACCACCCCCCTTAACCCCAACCAAGCCTACAACCCGCCAGCCGGTTTCAACTTCCTGCACGAGGACCTGGCGCCGATCCCGTCGGAGCCTGAGGCAGACCCGTCGTCGTCGTCCCCCACCTCCTCCACTGACTCCACGACCTCTGCGCCAGCCGCGCTCAGCTCCCTCTCTGTATGGCTGTCTGGCCCGCTTCCCTCCACGTGCTCGTCGGTGCCCTCAGTGGCCCCTTTGACCTTCTCGGGGCCTCTGCTGCCTTCTGGGATGCCGCCGTCTGTGCCAGACTCGCTCCCTCCTGCGGAGTCACTGCCGCTGTCAGCTGTTGAGAGATCCGAGGTCCCGTTCAGGCCTCATTCGGGTTCGTCCTCCGCTGCCCCTCCTGCCACAAGCGCAGCAGATCCAAATGCAACCGTCTCCGAACGTCCATTGCCTACCGACACGGAATACGTGCCGTTCAAGCCTGACTCCACTGACCCGCACCCTAAGCCTGCTGCTGCTGCTGCCTCGCATGCTCTCCCCCACTCCATCTCCGCCCCGCGCGCCCATCCAAGTCCCACTTCCTCCAGTCCTTCTCCATCTCCGGCGCCTCAAAGGCCAAATCCTCCAACCGCCACCAGATCAGCGCCATATCTGAGTCCTCTGACGAGTCCTCCACGCCAACGCCCGCGCCCATGCCCCACAGCGCCACGGCCCCACCCTTCCCATCCCTCCCTCTCTCCTCCACCATCGGCACAGCCCCCAAGGACCGCCGCTTCTCAGAAGGCTTTGCCAAGTCCGAGGCCGCCTTTCCAAAGACCAAGTCCGTGGGGCTCAGGCAGCGGCTGGCTGGCTTCACCTCCTCCTCCTCCTCGTCCTCCGCCTCCTCCTCTCCCTCCAGGTCCTCCTTTGGCTCCAAGGCCTCTCGCAGAGGCTCACAGCAGCAGGAGACGGAGCATTTCCTGCCCAAGCAGCGGTCCAGATCCTCATTCCTGCCTAAGCGCCGCTCCTCCTCCACTGAAAGTGTTCCTATAAGTAGCAGCAAGAGCACGGAGGGGGCGGCTGTCCCTCCCCTGGCCAAATCCGTGACTGTAACGGGGGGAGGTACAAGCAGTGGGGGGTCAGGAGGAGCGTCGTCTGGAGACGACGGGGGGGAGAAGGGTGAGGGGGGAATTGGGGCGTTTGGGGTGGGCAGCGGAGGGGAGAGTCTGCTGCCTCTGTCGTGGTTTGATGGGGACCTTAAGGGGGTGGCCTCTAAAGGGGATATGCCAGCAGCGCTGGGGGGAGGGGTACTGGTGGATGAGTGGTACGGCGTGCCGGCCCATGAGCTCAATGGCATCCTGTTCAAGCCTGACTCAGATTTCTATGCTGAATTCACTGCCGGTGAGTTCAAGTGGAGGGGTGGTGGTGGATGAGTGGTACGGCGTGCCGGCCCATGAGCTGAACGGCATCCTGTTCAAGCCTGACTCGGACTTCTACGCTGAATTCACTGCCGGTGAGAAGCACGCAGGAGTAGAAGGCTGCAAAGGAAGTGAGTTTATGCTGTTTCAATTTCAACGCACCCGTCCGCAAGGGTTGGGGAAAGCAAAAGGTTTGGGGAAGAGCGCCAGGGCCAGGGCCTGCTGTGTTGGCTATGTGAACCGGAGGGTGCAAGGGGGAATCGCATCGTATGCAGCTTGGCTGTCTGTGTACGATGATCGAAGCCCTGACTCGCCAGCTGTGTTTCGTCCACAAGAAGAGCCTAGAGAGCATTCCCACGCTGCTTTCGTCCCTTCCGATCCCCTTCCTCCCCTCACCCCGAGCACAAGGTGTCTCAGCTTGAGACGGGTCTCTGGATCGAGGGCGACGCTGCTCAGATCCCATCGCTAGCGGAATCCCTGCCCCCACCATCACATCAGCCAACGCGCCCGCCACGCCACGCCCCCCATCAGCTCCTAATCACGCTGCCCTTTCCCCCTTCCTTTGCGTCCCTCCCTTCTCTCCCTTCCCTGCAGAGCGCAAGGTGTCTCAGCTTGAGACAGGTCCCTGGATCGAGGGCGACGCCGCTCAGCTCCCATCACTAGCGGACTCCCTGCCTCCAACCATCACATCAGCCAACACGCCCGCCACACCCCCCATCAGCTCGCGAGTGGTTCGCTACATGACCGCGCCCTCCTCCCTGGTCAAGTCTGTACTCGCTACAGAGCTGATGCGGTATAGTAGAGCAGACGCTGGGGGGTTTCTGCTGGGGGTGTATGTGGCGACCCCAGACGTGCCGTATGGGGGGACGTTTCGGACAGAGATGCAGTTCTGCATAACGCCTGCTTCAGGTGAGCGATTCTGTATTATATATTATTATACACACATCTATATATTCATATACCGCTGTGCGCCCCTTTCAGACGCCCTTCCCAGCAGAACTATCCCCTCCCCCCCCCCCCCCACTTTTTAGGCGCCCCAAAAAAAGCAAAACTTCCACACTTTTTTCCAACCTGCTTCATGCTTCCGCCAGAGAAAGCATGATGAAAGCTGCCTCCCCCCCTCCCTCCCCTCCTCCTTCCTTCCTTCCCACTCCCCTCGCCCCGAGCGCACACACAGACAGACGGCAGCAGTTGCCACCTGCGGGTGTCGTGGGTGCTGTGACGAGCAGCATGATAAAAGCTTCGTCTTCCCTCCTTCCCCTCCATTCCCTCCCCCCTGCCCTCACTGCGCACACACAGACGGCAGCAGCTGCCACCTGCGGGTGTCATGGGCGCCGTGCTTCCTGCAGAGCACCATGATGAAGAGCATGATCGAGAACGGCATGCGCTCGGGGCTCAAAGACACGTACACCGCATACCAGGCGGTAAGTCACTGCACTGGTTACCAACCAGTAACACACATACATGGTTTTCTGCAGAGCACCATGATGAAGACCATGCTCGAGAACGGCATGCGCTCGGGGCTCAAAGACACCTACATGGCCTACCAGGCGGTGAGGCGCCCATGCTGCTTGCCAGGCACATCTATCCTTGACACACTGCTGACACACTTCTGACACACTGCTGACACACTGCTGACACACTCCGTAGCCCTCGAGTCAACAATCATTCCCCATCCCCCTTCCCCCTTCCTCTCCATTTCCGTTATTCCCGCAGATCTTGTCCAAATACGCTGCACCATGCACGCCCCCTGGTGACTCCTCCGCACCTGCCCTCCTCCCCTCCGAGCCTCTGCCGAAGCAGCCGGTGCTGGCTCGGCTGTTCAACATTCTGGGCCACTTCTCGCTGCTGCTCTTCGTCATCTCCCTTGTGGTGCTCCCCGTGCACTTCGTACAGCGCGCCAAGGGCCTGCCAGGGGTGCAGCTGCTGCTGCTAGACTTACCTGATGGGGTACTGGAGTTGATGTGCACCGCTGTGATTGTATTGAGCGCTGAGCGCGCTCTCTTTCGCTTGAGGAACATTCTCACGTCGCGACTCTTGAGAAGTGAGTATGGGTTGGGGAAGGGGGGAGTGAGGCTTTTGTAAAGCTCAGCTCATAATTCGTAGACCCGACGTCAAGATATCTGGTGTTCTCTATATCATTCTCTCTATTATTCCCACTAAGTTGGGCGTACTCCCTCAAGTCGTACTCCCTCTTCCCCACACCTTGCATGTATCCTCCAGGGGGTGACCATGGGAAGAAGGCAGAGGGCGAGGGGTGGCTGTTGACAGTGACGCTGGTGCAGGGGGAGGGCGTGGGGGAGGGGGGCGGCCTGGGCAGCAAGAGCGACCCGTATGTGGTGTTCACGTGCAACGGCAAGACACGCACCAGCTCCGTTAAACTGCAGACCAACCGGCCGATGTGGAACGGTAAGAGTTAGGGCGTGTGGGGATAATTTTTTAGTCGACTAAAAAATCTGAGTCGACTCATAAATCACTATGTGGAACGGTAAGAGTTAGGGCGTGTGTGGGTGTGAGATCGACCTCGTGTGGCGTAGCACCCACCCAGGAGCTAGTGGACCTGTGGGTGCCTCTGCAGGGGTGCAGGCTCTGTTGCACCTTTTCCCCACCCCTCCCCTTCTCTCCTCACTTTCGCTCCCCTGTGCTCCCTTCCCCCCCATCCCTGCCCCTTGCCGTTCCAGAGGTGCTTTCCTTTGATGCGTTTGAGGACCCCCCATCTACCCTGGACATTGAGGTGTTTGACTACGACGGCCCCTTCTCCGACCCCACCGCCCTGGGGCAGGCCGAGATCGACCTCGTGCGGCGCAGCAGCCAGGAGCTGGCGGACCTGTGGGTGCCGCTGCAGGGAGGCGCCAAGGCAGAGGCGCGCAGGGGAGGCAAGGCGCATGGGCAGGGGCAGGGGCAGGGGGTGGAGCCGAGGCTGCAATTGAGGGTGCTTCTAACGAGTACGAGCGATGCATCGGCGCCGAGGATTCTGGAGCGGATCAGCAAGCAAGTGGGCAAGGAGGTGCGCGAGCGTGTAAAGTTCCTCTACTGCTGACGGTTGGGGGGTTGCACATGCTCGCATCTTTGCTCCTCTGGATGGTGTGGATAGCGTAGCGTGTGCTCTCATGCTGGTGGTTTGCTCATATAGCCCGTTCTCTTGTTTCTCTAATGCTTCAAATAACTGGATGGTTCATCTGCTGTTCCATCCCAATGCTGTTCCGGCCCTCTGCTGTCCTATCCCATCCCATCCCATCCCATCCCATCCCACCCCATCCCACCCAACCAGCTGCTACGCATCTCGGACGAGAAGAACACCGCCTTCCATAATTTATTCGAGCTGCCCGAGAACGAGCCGCTCATCAACGACTTCTCCTGCGCCCTCAAAAAGAACCTCCTTTCCCAGGTCAGCAGCCCCATTCTGTTGCGGATAGCTCAGCTGAATCTCCCAGTGCCATCCTTTTCAACTGATTATTCTCGCTCATATCTCCTCCCATATCCTCGCTCTCCTCGTCCTCGTCCCCGTCCCATATCTGACCATTTTAAAACCTTAATCTGCCGAACTTCACCCTCCTTTCCCCGAAATCCTTGCTCTCCCCAACCTCCCTCCCTCTCCCTTTCCCCAGGGTCGTCTCTTCCTCTCCCCGCGCCTGCCGCCTTCCATGCATTTCCCTCCCTTGGGTGTTTTGGTGATGCTCCAAAGGCAGGATTCCCCCCCTCTCCTCCCTTTCACACCCCCCAGGGCCGGCTCTTCCTCTCCCCGCGCCTTCCACGCGTCGCTGTTCCGAGTGCGCTTCAAGTTCGCGCTGCCGTGGGACGACATCGACGAGATCTAGGAGAACGTGGAGCCTTGCTTGGAAGACCATGTTCAACCTTCTCAAAAGGCACTCCTTCCTGCTTTCCTCCTCTCCTCCTTGCTCTCTTTCTCTCCTCCTCTCCGCTCCCTCCCATTCCCCCTCCTCCCAGGGCCGGCTCTTCCTCTCCCCCCGCCTGCTCGCCTTCCACGCATCTCTCTTCCGAGTGCGCTTCAAGTTCGCGGTCCTCTGGGAGGACATCGAGGAGATCAAGGAGAACATCCACTCACTCAACCGCCTCAACCCCTCGGTCACCATCTACGTCAAGGGGGGGCGCGGGGGGCCCGACACGCGGAGCGCTGCCTATGGTATTGACCCGTCCGGCCGGCTCAAGATCAGATTCCAGTCCTTCGCTCGCCCCACCATCGCCTTCCGGTGAGTGCTTGCTCTGGCATGCCATTCTGGTGAGTACCCCAGCATTGCGTTTGGCACACCGTCCTCGCGCTCTGTTCTGGTGAGTGCGCTCCCCTTGCCCCGCAATCCACTCCCTCAACCGCCTGCTCAACCCCTCCGTCACCATCTATGTCAAGGTGATTTTTGAGTCGACTCAAGAATCACCAAGGGGGGGGGCGGGGAGGGCCCAACACGCGCAGCGCGGCTGATGGCATCGACCCATCCGCCCCGCTCAAGATTTTTGAGGCGCCTAAAAAATCTACAAACATTGACCCATCCGCCTCGCTCAAGATCCCAATCCATTCCTTTGCCCGCCCCACCATTGCCTTCCAGCCGGTCAGTCAGTCCTCTGGCATTGTCCATCGGTGAGTATCCCACCATTGCCTTCCAGCCGGTCAGTCAGTCCTCTGGCATTGTCCATCGGTGAGTATCCCACCATTGCCTTCCAGCCGGTCAGTCAGTCCTCTGGCATTGTCCATCGGTGAGTATCCCACCATTGCCTTCCAGCCGGTCAGTCAGTCCTCTGGCATTGTCCATCGGTGAGTATCCCACCATTGCCTTCCAGCCGGTCAGTCAGTCCTCTGGCATTGTCCATCGGTGAGTATCCCACCATTGCCTTCCAGCCGGTCAGTCAGTCCTCTGGCATGGTCCATCGGTGAGTATCCCACCATTGCCTTCCAGCCGGTCAGTCAGTCCTCTGGCATTGTCCATCGGTGAGTATCCCACCATTGCCTTCCAGCCGGTCAGTCAGTCCTCTGGCATTGTCCATCGGTGAGTATCCCACCATTGCCTTCGGCCCATCACCCCAGCGCTGCCTTGAGGCTCCTCAACCCACACCTACTCCCCCCTTCCTCCCCTCTCCATCCCCCCTCCTTTCAGCCTAATCACGGCGCTGTGGCACCACAGGGCGCTGCCCCCAGTGCAGGTTTTCAGGCCAGTCATAGCCAAGTTCAACTCACTCCCACCCTGCCCCCACCTCCTCCCCAATCCGCCCTCCCCCCGTCCTTCAGCCTTATCACGGCGCTGTGGCACCACAGGGCGCTTCCCCCGGAGTAAGCTGTGATGCCCTTGCCCTCTTCCCCCCCCACTCCCCCCCCTCTTCCCCCGCCCTTCAGCCTAATTACGGCCCTATGGCGCCACAGGGCGCTGCCCCCGGAGCAGCAGCTGGAACGGGCCAAGGAGGCGGCTAGTGCCGCTGCTGCGGCAGAGGAGGGCGGGGCCGATGCAGGGGCAGGTGCAGCGCCAGGGGACAGCATTGTGCGCAGCCCCTCGCAGGGCTTTGGGCCTGGCCAGGGCGGGAGTCCAGGCGGGGCAGCAGGAGGGAAAGGGGGGGCAGGGGGAGGAGGTGCTAGTGGTGGAGGTGGTGGTGGTGGAGGTAGAGGTGGTGGAGGGGTGGTGGCGGGTGACGGGGAGGCGGGGGAGGAGCAGGTGGCAGTGTGCACGGACCTGTATGAGATGATCGACTGCATCAGCACTGCCGTGCCCATGACGGTGAGAGGGGGAGGGCGAGAGAGACAGAGTGAAAGGGGCATGCAGGCAGTGTGCATGGACCTGTGTGAGATCATCGACTGCATCTGCACTGCACTGCTGTGCCCGGCACGGTGAGTGAGAGGGGATGCATGGCATGGGCCATCCAGGCAAGAGAGGCATGGCCACATATGTGACCCGCCCCCTTCTCCCCGTCTCCCTCTCACCCCCGCTCTCACTCCCCCTCTCACCCCCGCTCTCACTCCCCCTCTCACCCCCTCTCTCACTCCCCCTCTCACTCCCGCTCTCACTCCCCCTCTCACTCCCGCTCTCACTCCCCCTCTCACTCCCGCTCTCACTCCCCCTCTCACTCCCGCTCTCACTCCCCCTCTCACCCCCCAACAGGTGGAGCAGTTCCTGGCGATGACGGAGCAGCAGCAGCTGCAGCGCAAGGTGGCAGACGCCACCGGTCAAACCCACCTGGAGGTCTCCGATTGGGTGGCGGTGGACGGCGCGCCGCCCGGCGCCGCTCGGCGGCAGCGCAACATAAAGTTCAAGTACTCGCGCCAGATGTCGCCGTTCGGTACCACTGTGTCGGGTGTGCAGCAGGCCACAAAGGACGCGACACCTGGCATGTGTGCATGGGCCATGCTTGAGGAGTCTATCACGCTGCACCAAGTGCCGTTTGGGGATTATTTCCAGGTGATTGACCCTTCGCCATTTTCAGCCGGCTCAAATCTGGGCGAACGCGAACTACCACCCGTCCTTTTTTTAAGCCCTCTTCAACTCTTGACGAGTCTATGATGCTTCGCCAAGTGCCATTTGAGGATTGGTTCCAGTCCAGGTCGGTGCCCGTGCCATCTCAAAGTGGCTCACTTTTGAGTCGACTCAAAAGCCATCTCAAAGTGGGCTCAAGTTCTGTGCTCACGTGTCATGGATTTGCATTTGCGGTTCAAATTTGCTCATTTGAAAGCTCAGGTGGAGACGAAGAGGGAGCTCAAGGCACGGCAGCTGGTGAATGGCAAGGGCGATGGCAAGTCGGATGCCAAGTCAGATGGGAAGGCAAATGGAAAGGCAGGAGGTTTTGATGAGCAGGTGTCGGATCTCAAAACTACGGTGGGCATCACATGGCAGAAGCAGGCGAATGAGCGCACACGTGCCAAAATCAAGGCGAACGTGGGCGAGTGGTTCAAGGAGCACAATAAGAGAGTGCTGGACATGGCAATCCGGGAGGCCATTGCAGCTACCCAAGGGTGAGGAGAAAATATTGGAAGGTCGGGATGCTGCTGGCTTGAGGAATAAATTATAGGGCGTTGATTGGAGAGTATGCTGGGGCTAACGAAGAAATTAAACAGGAAGAAGGCACTAGCTAACATAAAGATTTGAAGAGCAACCACTTCCACGAGATTGACTTCAAGAACCTCTAGTACTACTAATATTGACCTGGTTTGCTGAGATTTAGGTTGTTCTACTGTAGTCCATACAGCAACCGATGCTTATCATCTCGTTGCGTTCCCCGTCAGCGATGAATCTCTTAGCGACAAACCATTTGACCTTGGGAGTTCCGACGGTGAGTCAGCAACAGTACAAGAAGCCACCCCCGCCCACAAACTGTGTCAGTCGGTGGTTGGTTTGGTGCTGTAGCAGTCAGGAACTTGGAAGCCCAGGATTCAGGAATGAGCAGGAACTCATTCCAGGAAATCTGTCTGCAGGGATCCGAAATCAGCGATGAGCAGAAATTCCTATTCCAGGCTGCGGAGGTAGGAATCAGGACGAGGTAGGGATCAAAAGAGTTTCCTCGGATTGCGAGGAGGAGGTAGGCGATTACGACGCAGTGGCGCAGATCGAGCTCTGTCGGTGACCCGTCAGAAGAGATTCCTCCGAGATCGCAGACGATGGCTCCTCCTAGAGTGACCCGTCACTGATGCGCTTCGAGGAATGAAGTTCCTGGGAGTTGCGGGTGCTCAGCGCAGCGCGATCAGAGCAGGGGTTCGGGCTACTACTACTAGCGCAGCTTGCGTGGTTCGTACTTGAAGCTCCTTTCAGCAGTGACGCGCCCGCGCCGTGTTCAGCAGGCGAGTGAGATCCGACGCTCGTGGTCAGACGCTCGTGGCCAGGCGCTCTCCGCTTTCGCGTCGACTCAAAAGCCGGGGGCTGAGATCCAACGCCAGTCGCGGAAGCGATCCTAGCGAACTTCTGAAGATCCGGCGATTGCCATCCGGTTGCCGTCCGATTGCCGTGCAATTGCCATCCGACGGTTGCCATCCGACGATCATCAGACCGGTCGTTCACAATGATGAGCCGAGGGGCCCGAGGCCCTCGCCGGCCGCCGCATTTGCCGACGGGGAAGGCAGCGGGAGGTGGCGACTGGTTCGCGTCGCTCCGCGGCCGAACGCTCATGTCGATCGCACTCGTCGCCGTCGTCGCCTCCACCAGGTACCGCCTGACCTCACGCTCGTCGCAGCCATCGCAGCCATTGCAGCCGTCGCATGCGTCGCAAACGTCGCAGTCGTCGCGACCACCAGGTTACCGCGTGCCGTTACGTTCGTCGTCGCTCCATTATGCAGTACCACAAGTTACCACACGTTACCACACGTTACCACAAGTCCGTGGCTCTACCCTGGTGCCATCGCCTTCTCTCACTCCGCCTCATCCTCGACCTCCATTGGTCGACCTCCATTGGTCGACCTCCGTTGCTCAACCTCCATTGGTCGACCTCCATTGGTCGACCTCCGTTACTCGACCTCCATTGGTCGACCTCCATTGCTCGACCTCCGTTGCTCGACCTCCGTTGCTCGACCTCCATTGCTCGACCTCCATTGCTCGACCTACCCGCATCCAGTGATCTGATCGCATGGGCTCCCCTCTCCCTCGCTCGTCCGGACTCTGCTTTTACAGCGTACATTCGTCCAAACCCCCTCACACCCAACAACCTCCCCCATATCCACCTGCCTGCAGGCGCACGTGGTCCCCCTCGCGGCTCTCCTCGTTGACAAGGGCGGGTGCGAGTTCCCCATCCAGCTCAACGCGCGGGGCGCCCTGGGGGGCCCCTGGATGAACCACTCCTCTCACCATACCCTCCCACCCAACTCTCACACCCAACCCACGCCTGCCTCCAGGCGCACGTGGTTCCCCTCGGCGCAGCTCGCGGCTCTCCTCGTCGACAGGGGCGGGTGCGAGTTTCCCATCCAGCTCAACGCCAGGGGCGCCCTAGAGGGCCCCTGGGTGAACCACTCATCGCTCTCCTCGCACGACCTCCTCGACCTCGCCACTAGACGGACCGACGGGGGGGGCTCCTCCGCCTCCTCCTGGGACCGCAGGCACGCGTTCGCGTCTGACGCGGGGGGCGGGGGCGGAGTGACGGAGGCGGAGTTCTACACGCCTGTGCGGTACCAGGGGATGGGGAAGGTGGTGGCGGCGGAGGAGGGGGAGGACGACGGCAAGGCGCCGTGGGGGCACGTCGTGGAGGGGCTGCTCACCGCGGGCACACTCAGCACGGGGAATCGCCTCACGCTGGCGTTTGCCCGGCTTGCTGAGAGGTTCCTGGCGTCGTGGGTGCGCATCGATGTGAGTAAGAGGGGGCGTTGGAGGGGTGTGGGATGGAGGGCCATGTTGAGCTTTCTCTCCCCTTGCCGTTTAGCCGGTGCTCACGTGCGGTCGATCGTGTGATCATCTCCGTCCGCCTATGTCTGTGCTCTGATATTTTGGCCGCTGTATTTCTGTATCTCTGGATTCGTGTGTGTCTGTGTGCCGGTGTGTCTCTGCATGCCTGTGTGCCTGCATGCATGTGTGCCTGCATGCCTGTGTGCCTGCATGCCTGTGTGCCTGCATGCCTGTGTGCCTGCATGCCTGTGTGCCTGCATGCCTGTGTGCCTGTGTGCCTGCATGCCTGTGTGCATGTGTGCCTGCATGCCTGTGTGCCTGCATGCCTGTGTGCCTGCATGCCTGTGTGCCTGCATGCCTGCATGCCTGTGTGCCTGCATGCCTGTCTGCCTGTGTGCCTGCATGCCTGTGTGCCTGTGTGCCTGCATGCCTGTGTGCCCGTGTGCCTGCATGCCTGCATGCCTGCATGCATGTGTGCATGTGTGCATGTGTGCATGTGTGCATGTGTGCCTGCGACTATGAGCATCAGGGCATCACCAAGGGACTGGGCAAGGCGGGCATGGTGAAGCAGATCATGTTTCCAGCCATGGCCGTCAACCCCAAGGTACCTTTCCAGCCATGGCCGTCAACCCCAAGGTGCCCACCCGTGCCCTTCTCCCTCCCTCGCTCCAAGTTCCAACGCCACCGCTGCTTCACATGCAGCCATGCCTGGTGCCGTGCTGCTGGGGGGTGTACTTCTGCTACGGGTCCTTCCTTCCCCCACAGTCCAAGTGCGCTCTGCCTAGCGATATGGCTCCTGCAACTCGCTCCTGCAACTCGCTCCTGCAACTCGCTCAGGTCCATTCAACCCCCTCCCTCCCTCCTGAGCCGTGCCTGGCTCAGGTGCACATACTGCAGGGCCGGGGTGTTCTCCCGTACAGGTCCTTGGGTTCGCTCGGGCCCTTTTCTCCCCCCCCCCTCTCCGTCCCTGCTCATGTGCCTCCCGCCCTGCAGATGCAGCAGTGCCTCACCCAGGTGCGCATAGTCCAGGGCCGAGTGTTCATCCCTGTGGCTTCATCTTTGAGTTCGCCCCTCTCCCTCCCACGTCCTGCCCTCTCATTCTCCCCCCTGCAGATGCAGCCGTGCCTGGCGCAGGTGCGCATAGTGCAGGGCCGGGTGTACTTTCGCTACGGCTACTTCCTGGAAGATGCGAGGAAGCTCAAGCGCGTCAACCTGGCAGTGAAGATGATTCTCCAAGCCATCACTGCATACGACCTCAGATGTACGTTATTGTTCATGTGGTACATTAACACTGTATTTCTAGTATTATACTTATACATTACTAAGTTCATGTGGTACTTTTTTAACATGCATGCAACAAGCCCATCAACTTAACCAACTTTTTTTCCTGCTGATCTGCACCTGTCCTACCCCGTCCCCCTCCTCCCCACTTCCCCCTTCCCCCTCCCCCCTCCCCCTCATCTCCCTCCTCGCCTCCCCCTGACCTGCCCACGACCAGCACTGCGAGCAGAGCTGTTTGTCTTCGCCCATCCCCTTGACAGGTTTTGAACAAATCTCAAGAACCTATCGCAGCCCATCACCATTTGAGTCGACTGAATAGTCTCCCCACACTGCCCGCTCCTCCCCTCCCTTCCCCCCACCACCAGCCCTGCGACCGGAGCTGTTCTTCAACGCGTGCAACAACATCAGCTGTTCCCCCCACTTTCCCACCCCCCCACTGTTCCCCCCCCCAACTGTCCCACCCCCCCCACCACCAGCGCTGCGAGCGGAGCTGTTCATCAATGCGTGCGACAAGCCCGTCAGCTTCGACAACTCCCTCTCCTCAGGCTGCTCCGGCTTCCCGGTGTTCAGCACACAGTGGACCCCCGGCTCCACTGACATTCTCTTCCCCGACCCCCTCGACCTCGACTTCTCGCCGCCTGCCCATGCTGAGCACGTCCCCTGGCCCAAGGTTCGTCTCTCGTGCCGTTTGAAACGCTTTAGAACTGGTCTCAAGCTGGTTAGGGCACGATCCCTGTGGTCAGCAGCACTCGGTGGTATTAGCGGCTCCCCATGGCTCCGCCAGTACCCTCTTCCCTCCCCCCTCCACCTTCACTTCTCGCCTGCAATGCACGCTGAGCACAGGCAGGCCCTCGCCCAAAGTGTGCTTTCCCCTCCGTGTCTCATTCTTGCCATGTGCTGCATGTGTGCCTGTCTGGCCGTGCTGCCAAACTTGCCATGCACGCACATCCCACAGAAGGAAGGCAAGGCGGTGTGGCGGGGCAGCGGCTTCGAGTTCCAATTGAAGCCCTACAACTGGGCCTCCAGCTTCCGCCTTCGCCTGCACCGAACCTCCGACTCGCGCCCGGACCTGCTGGACGCCCGGCTGGCCAGCTTCGGCAAGGACGACCTGTCCGAACCAAGAGAGATGCTGATCAAGTGAGTGCCTTGGGCTGGGTCGATCCAAACGGCACCTCGATTCGGCCGATCCGAGAGAGATGACGACGTGAGTGCTTTGGTTCACGTGGAGTCTCTTTTTGAGGCGAGAGCCTCAAAGATGACGTGAGTGCTTTGGTTCACGTGGAGTCTCTTTTTGAGGCGAGAGCCTCAAAGATGACGTGAGTGCTTTGGTTCACGTGGAGTCTCTTTTTGAGGCGAGAGCCTCAAAGATGACGTGAGTGCTTTGGTACACGTGGAGTCTCTTTTTGAGGCGAGAGCCTCAAAGATGACGTGAGTGCTTTGGTTCACGTGGAGTCTCTTTTTGAGGCGAGAGCCTCAAAGACGACGTGAGCGCTTTGGTTCACGGGGAGTCTATTTTTGAGGCGAGAGCCTCAAAGATGACGTGAGTGCTTTGGTTCACGTGGATGCATTGAGAGCTTCAGCGCTGTATGCAGCTGATTTGGGCGACTTCCTTTTGGGCCGGCTCACAAGGGCACCCCAGACCAGACCAGACATGCCCAGACTTGTAACAGCATTCCAGACAGACCTGCCTGACGCCTGGCTGCAGGGCTGCGGGAAAGCGGACCTGGGCCCTGCAGACGATGCAGGGCTGCGGGAAAGTGGACCTGGGCCCTGCAGACGATGCAGGGCTGTGGGAAAGCGGACGGGGGCCCTGCAGACGATGCAGGGCTGTGGGAAAGCGGACGGGGGCCCTGCAGACGATGCAGGGCTGTGGGAAAGCGGACCGGGGCCCTGCAGACGATGCAGGGCTGTGGGAAAGCGGACGGGGGCCCTGCAGACGATGCAGGGCTGTGGGAAAGCGGACCGGGGCCCTGCAGACGATGCAGGGCTGTGGGAAAGCGGACCGGGGCCCTGCAGACGATGCAGGGCTGCATAAAGTGCTGCTGAAACGAGCGAGCCTGCTCCCTCCCTCCCCCTCTCCCTCCCCCTCTCCCTCCCCCTCTCCCTCCCCCTCGCCCTCCCCCTCTCCCTCCTCCTCGCTCTCCCCCTCTCCCTACCCCTCTCCCTCTACCTCCCCCTCTCCCTCTACCTCCCCCTCTCCCTCCCCCTCTCCCACTCCCTCTTCCTCCCCCTCTCCCTCCCCCTCTCCCTCCCCCTCTCCCTCCCCCTCTCCCTCCCCCTCTCCCTCCCCCTCTCCCTCCCCCTCTCCCTCCCCCTCATCCTCTCCCTCTCCCTCCCCCTCTCCCTCCCCCTCATCCTCCCCCTCGCCCTCCCCCTCTCCCTACCCCTCCCCCTCTACCTCCCCCTCTCCCTCCCCCTCTCCCTCTCCCACTCCCTCTCCCTCCCCCTCTCCCTCCCCCTCTCCCTCCCCCTCTCCCTCCCCCCCTCCCTCTCCCTCTCCCTCCCCCCTCCCTCCCCCTCTCCCTCCCCCTCCCCCTCTCCCCCCCCCTCTTCCTTCCTCCCCACCAACGGCTATGTTTTGGCAGAGGAACTTGAGGTGGGGGGAGGAGGAATGCATTCGAGCATGTAGTGGTGGGATCTTGTTGCGACCCTCTTCCTTGCCCACAGAAACGGCTGTGCACTGGCCGAAGAGCTAGAGGAGGGGGGGAAGGAGGAGGTTGCACTCGAGTATGTGGCTGCGGTGTTTTGACGCCCTCACACCTCGTTGCCCCCCAGGACTCCCCTGCCCCCCCTTGCAAAAACGGCTCTGTGTTGCACAGGAGGTACATGGAGGGGGGAACAAAAACTCATCCCAGCAGGTGGCGATTGTGGAAGAGAGGGTAGGCTCTCATGATGCCCCTTCCTCTCCCCTGACCCTGTCCCCCCTGTTACCCTGTTCCCCCTGTTACCCTGTTCCCTCCCCCCTAGAGACGGCTTTAAGTTGGCAGAGGAGCTAGAGGAGGGAGAGAAGGAGGAGGCATTCCAGTACGTGGTGGTGGGATCTTATTGCGACCCTGTTCACCCCCCCCAGAAACGGCTTTGTGTTGGCAGAGGAGCTTGACGAGGGGCAGAAGGAGGAGGCATTCAAGTACGTGGTGGTGGTGGATGAGAGGGTGGGCTCTCGTGACATGTGTCGCGCTCTCAGTGGCCAGCAGGCCGTTATCCGGCACCTCTCAGGCTTCATGCAGTACTTTGAGCCGCTCCTGCTGCCAGGGGTGCACTACATCCCCGTCACACACAGGTCAGTGCTGCCTGGGGTACACTTCATCCCCGTTACACACAGGTCAGTGCTGCCAGGGGTACACTACCTCCCTGTTACACACAGGTCAGTCAGTGCTGCCAGGGGTGCACTACATCCCCGTTACACACAGGTCAGTGCTGCCTGGGGTGCACTACATCCCCGCTACACACGTCTGTAACATACTCATGTTTGAGAGGCAAACAACAGTCCCTGCCACAAGATCATCCTGCAGTTTTGTCTTGTCTCCTCAATGTATCTCCTTACCATGCCCCTGCCTGCAGTTTCACGGATGCGGTGGACGCAGTGGAGTTGATGCGGCAGCATGACGATGCCGTGCAAACCATGGTGCTCAACGCCAATGCGTTTGGACCATGAGGACTTCTCAGATAATCCCTCCCCAATGTGTGTGCATACCATACCTCCATCTGCAGTTTCACGGATGTGGTGGACGCAGTGGAGTGGATGCGGCAGCACGATGACGCCGTGCACACCATGGTGCTCAACGCCAACGAGCTTGCTTCGCATGTGTGCACGTGGCACAGCCGGGTGCACTACTGGGCCGTGCTGCTCGCCAAGTACTCCGCTCGAGCCATGGAAACCCCACAAGCCGTGGTCGCCCCTACCGTGTGTGAAGGCGGCAAGGCTTTGGAGTCCGCGGAGTGGGCGGCTGGTAAAGTAACGAATCCAAGTTGTAAGGTCGAGGGGAAGGATGCCAGTGAGGGTAAGTGCTTGGATTTTTGTGTTACAGGTGTGCCTGAGGAGAAATGGACATGGTTGGATGCAAAGGATAGCCTAGCATCTTTGGAGATTCATGATCCTTTTGGGCATCCACATGCACCAGGAAGGGCAGTAGAATGATTTGTGTGCCTTGTATTTCTGCAACCCTGTGTGGGATTGTGGATAGACATCTTCATGTACCGGTAAGAGTTAATACTTAGTTACATGTTTTGAAGGCATTTCTGCACAACGGAACGTGTGGAAACCTGTCGCGCGGATTTCGTCGCTAGGCCTCACGATGTGGATACTTTTCGCCGAATGCGCAAGCACTTCGCAGCGGCTGTCGCATCAACCCCCGGCGTGTGGCAAGCAGAAGTCGAAATGATGGGACTGGAGCGGAGGTCAGGTACAACGCGGTACAATGTGGTTTTGTTGTTTCAAGGAACTTTTGAGAGGTACAGAGGGAAGCGATCAGATGATGGGAGTGAAGGGTCCCTCGGACCGTACTAGCTAGCCACACCCTTCACCTGCCTCTTCCTCTCACTGAACTGAACACAACGGAGGTGTGCTGAGCTGAGCTGATCCAGGAATCACGGAGACCCTAGTTCCGCCATGGAGCTGTGAGGTTCCGAGGGCTTTCTGTAGCGTATCCGACGGCGTTCAACACTCTTTTTGGATCGCCTAAGTCTTAGGTTTTAACTGGAGCTTGATTTCTCATTGCTAGCGGATTGGCTATCCCTCGTCAGCTCTGTCAGGGCTTCAGCCATGTCGGGGGGTTTTTTTCGAGGGACCAGCGCGGATCAGGACAGCCGGTTTTCCAACAAGAATGCGAAGCTGCTAAAATCGCAGAAGTTTGCTCCGGAGCTTGACGAGCCGGCAAGTGTCACTTCCGCTGAAGCCATTTTTCCGTTGTAGTTTCCGAGATTTTCGTTAAACAAGTTACATGGAATCCTTCCTTTGGGATCGTCGTAATCCTAGATAATCCTAGTAATCCGTTTTTTGTTTTTTTTGTTTTTTTTTTTTTGGTTCCTCAGGTGGATATGACCAAGGTAAAGAAGGAGGTGATGCAGCCATGGATCGCCAAGCGAGTGACCGAGCTACTAGGCGTGGAGGATGAAGTTCTGATCAACTTCATCTACAGTCTCTTGGAAGGCAAGGTATGCCGATCTACGAATATGCTTTTTGTCGGAGTGGAGTTCTCGCGTCAACTTCTGTTTTTTTTTTAGGTGTTTTTTTCCCAGGCTTTTGCGAGTTCAGTCCAGGCTCGGTCCGAAGCTTATCCCGATCGGTTGTGATCTTGTCGACAGCTTCGGCATCTACATAACTGGGATCGCCTGTCAGACATTCTATGGCATCAGGGGGTCCATGACCCATGACTGCAAGGTGCATCTGCTCTGCAGGAAAACCAGCCATGGCTCCGGTCCTGACCGAGTATAGCTTGCCTCGCTGGCGGGCTGGCTCTGTTTCAACCCTGTCAATTCCGCCTGGTAACCCGCCTGTTACCGTCTACAGATCGAGAACATCCTTTTCCTTCGCACTCCTGCGTTCCAATTTTCGGAGCACTTGCAGAACAGCCGTCGCCGTTGCTCCGTTTTTTGTTCCCTTCTCTTCCTCTCCGCGTCCCAAAAACCCTTCTCCTGTCGCGTGCGCAGAAGGTGGACGGCAAGCAGGTCCAGATTCAGTTAACCGGGTTCATGGAGCGGCACACGGCCAAGTTTATGAGGGAGCTGTGGTGCCTGCTGCTGTCGGCGCAGGCCAACGTCAGCGGCATCCCGCAGAAGTTCCTCGACGAGAAGGCCGAGGAGACCCGCAAGAAGAAGGTACGCTGGTGGGGGTGGGGAAGGGAAGGGGGGGGGGAGAGGGAGAGTAGGCCGGGCTTTGCTCGTTTTGACTTTTGACTCGCCTCGGAAGTTCCTCGAGGAGAAGGCCGAGGAGAACCGCAAGAAGAAGGTGCGGTGCAGGGCGGCTTGATCATTCAGGGTTTAGCCTCCCCTGCCTGATCCGTTGTGTGTGTGTGTGTGTGTGTGTGTGTGTGTGTGTGTGTGTGTGTGTGTGTGTGTGTTAGGTTATAATTTGCTTTCGCGTACTGTTGTGACCTTTCTTGGATGGCAGGAGGCGGAGCAGCGCATTTTGTCTGAGATTGGGCGCAAGAGGGAGATGCAGCAGGGCTCGTTGCTGGGCCCTGGTGGCGCTGCTGCTGCCGCCACACCGGTAAGTCGCGTTTTTACCCGGCGCCTTGACACATGCCAGGACGATTCCTACTGACTCGCGGTTCTAGACGCTTAGAGGTATGCGGACGTGGTGAGCACACGAGTGCCCCCAGTGTACGTCTTACTGGCAATTTCCGGTGCCTCTTCTCCTCATCATGCCCCCCCTGGTGCCTGCACCGCGTGTGCGCAGGGAGTGGATGTGGAGGCTGCTCGAAGGAAAGCGGCAGAAGCAGCGGCGCGCCTCACAGCCGCTCTCCTGGGCCATCCGCCTCCCACTGCTGCTGCTCCCGCTGCTCCTGCTGCTACTGCACCCGCGGTGGTATCAGCGCCGCCGGCCGTCCCGGCGGCTACTGCTGCTGGCAACGCTGCTATCGCTGCCGCCACCGCGGCTGCTGCGGCGATCACGGCGCAGGCCGCCAAGCTGGCGCAGGAGAAAGAGGCGGCTGCAGCAGCTGCTGCAGCTACTGCTGGTGACGGTGTTGCGGGAGCGGTAGAAGAGGCTGCTATAGGTGATGGGAGGGAAGGCGATGAAAGGACTGCGGTTGCTGCTGCTGTTGGTGGTGATGGTGCTGGTGATGGTGCTGGTGCTGCTGTTGGTGCTGCTGGTGGTGCTGGTGCTGCTGCTGGTGCTGGTGCTGGTGCTGGTGAAGAAGGGGCGGACCAGGATCAGGCGGACACTCGTTCCCCCTTGCCTCCCCCCCCTCGAACCCGCTCCCCCACCCGCCGTCGCCATCGCTCCCGCTCTCTCTCCCCCGACCGCCGCTCTCGCTCCCCGCCCCGCCACCGCCGCTCCGCCTACCGCTCCCCCCGCCGCTCGCCCCCGTCCTCCTACCGCAGCAGCCGCCACCGCTCTCCCCTAAGAAGCCGCGGGTACCAGCGCGACGGGCGCTCGCCGCCAGGAGACTACCGGCGCAGAGGGGGGGACTCCCGCCGCCAGGCGTCTGTATCTCCGCTGCCCCCTACTCGGCGCCCCTCCAGGCAGGAGGAATCGCTGTCGCGGTACCCCCCGTCTAGTAGGTCGATGAGGGGGCGGGGTGAGAGAGGGCGGGAGGTGAGAGGGAGGGAGGGGAGAGGGCGGGAGGAGAGAACACGGGGAGAACGACGGGTGGATGAAAGAGGGGTTGGTAAAGACAGGGGCACGTCGTTCAAACGGGGGTCGCCGGGGAGGGATAGGGGAGGTAGGGGGGAGTGCGATGGGGAGTATGAGGAGGAGGATGAGGAAGAGGAGTATGAGGAGGGTACGCGGGCTGGTGTGAGCAAGGACGGAAAGAGAGGAGGGGGAGGAAGGCGAGATGAGGAGGAGACAGAGGAAGTGGATGAGGAAGGGGAGGAGAAGATGGGTGGGAAGGGTAGGGCGGGTCGGTTGGCGCAGGATGTGGGGAGTGACGAAGAGATGATGCCGAGAGGAAGGGGCCGAGCTGATGTGGGGAGGAGTGGAAAGGGCGATGCGGAGGTAGGCAGGGAAAGGGATAGGGATAGGGGCACACCAACTGCTGCTGCTGGTGCTGGTGCCGGTGCCGGTGCCAGTGATAGTGATGGCGAGGAGGCGAAAGATGACCTGGGTGCGATCAAGAAGTCTGATGGCCGGAGGGCGAGAGTGGGGCGAAGGGGCAGGGAGGAGGTGGAGGAGGCGGGAGACGAGGAGGAGGACAGGTGGGGTGGGGAGGGGGATAGGAGGGGGATTGACGGGGGAAGGTATGTGGGGCGGAAGTATGACGGGAGCGGATATGAGGGGCGCGCGCGTGAGAGGCGCGATGAGGAGATGGGGGCAGGAAGGGGGGAGGTGCGGGGGGGAAGGAGAGCAGGGTTTGAGGGGGTAAGGGGTGGGGAAATTCGAGAGGGGGCACGGGGCAGGGATGGACCCAGGGAGGGTTGGACAGAGGATTGGGAGGCTAAGGGTGGGCGTCCTAGTGGTAATCGACCAAACCATGTGGGTGGGGATGCTGGTGGTGGTGGTGCGAATGATTCACGGGGCTCAGGGCCGAGGCATGGGGAGAGGAGGGTGAGGGCGCAGGACGAGGAGGAAGAGGAGGAGGAGGAGGCGGGGAGGGAGCAGGGAAAGTCTCGCAGTTTCCGCTCGTCGCAAGAAGCATCCCCTCATGATGCCTCCCCTCCTTCCTCTGCCACTCCCTCTCCCCGACGACCGACAAGGGAGGGTGGGGTGAGAGGGGCCGGGCAGGGAGAACAGATGGGTGGAGATGGGTTTGGGAAGGCGGAGAGTGAGGAGTGGGAGGAGGATGAGGGGATGAACAGTGAGGAGAGGAGGGAGGCGAAGAGGAGGAGGAGGGAGGAGAAGAAGGCTCGCAAGGAGGAAAGAGGCGGAAGAAGGAGGAGAAGCGGAGGCGCAAGGAGGAGAGGCGTGCGGCTAAGGAAGCGCGGCGGGGCATGGGAGGGGAGGAGAGGGGCAGTAGTGAGGAGGACGAGGAGAGACAGGCGGAGAGGGGGGTGGATGGTGATGGGCGGGATGGGCGGGATGGGCGTGATTGTGAGGGTGTAGGCAGGGGCAAGAGGGAGAGGGAGTGGGAGGAGGGGGGGGACGAGGAGCGAGAGAGGGGGGGAGGGCCTCCTGTGAGCAGCATGGAGGAACTGAGGGAGAGAGCCCTGCGCTCCATGCAGGCTAAGCGCTCTAGGGAAGGCTGACGGGGGCTTGCACGGATGGCATGGGAGAGAGGGATGGCGTGACAGGGATGAGGGGGGTGGCATGCCATGCGGTGGAACTATTTTGGTCTAAAATGAGCAGATGAGTGGAGATTTGGGGGCTATGGAGTGAGTTTTTATTACTGAAGGCTTGTGGAACGGTATTTCCACACATTTCGAATTCCAATCTTGTTTTGTTTTGAAGGGCTCTTTGCCTATCCCTTCATTGTCATACGAAGAGCTTCAGTGGTTGGTCCTCACCTCTTGTTTCAGTTTTGCAGATTTCGAACATACATTATTTGGCATAAAATTTAAAGTGTTTATAGTAAAAGTGCCGACCAGGGTACACGTACTCCCAGAACTGTGGCGTTACAATAGAATCGCCTACCGCGCCACCTTGTACCGAACCAGTGAAGCTCCTATCCAGGAGTGAGATTTCCTCGTTTCTGTAAGAAATACTTCACCCCTCCACCGCATTCGGACACTCCGCGAGGGTGCACCATGCTGTGCAGCTGCTAAAGGAGACTAAAGCGATGGGCTCTTTTGCAGGTCACGTCATTCCCGGGACGCTTTTCCTTCTAGTGGGGCTGTGGCACCTGCGATGCGGGATTAAGAACTACCTCGCGGCGCCGCAAGCTTTCGTGTCGCGGATGTGGCATCCCGCGCCGCTCCCCGGGCACTGGTCGCGGCTCGAGCTGTACATAATAGTGGCGGGGTCGTTCCTAGATATGACCTTAGTGGAGCTCGGGATCGGAACCGGGTTTCGCCCCATCGAAAATGGCGGCGTGGCTCCTGGTCACCTCAATAACTTCGAGGTACATTCTCTGTTTATTAGCTACGAGCGCTTTGTCTTGTGTAATGTGGCTCGCGTTCGGCGTTTTTCGTTTTCCGCTTCAGCAAGGGTGTCTTTAACCGGGTGGCCTGAGCCCCTTTATTGCATCTGCGTTTTTGTACACATCACGCCTCGCCTCCACGCTGCTCCTGTTCTCTTGCTGGCCTGCTCCCTGCTCCCTGCTCCCTGCTCCCTGCTCCCTGCCCCCTGCTCCCTGCTCCCTGCTCCCTGCTCCCTGCTCCCTGCTCCCTGCTCCTTGCTCCCTGCTCCCTGCTCCCTGCTCCCTGCTGTCCTGCGTGGCTCTGACCCACCTGCTTTCTATCCCTGCCCACCCTGCGTCCTGCTGTCCATTCCACCATCATCCGCAGCACGCGTCCATGCTGCTCATGTTCTTCGTGCTGGGCTGCGCCGTTCTCGTCAGCGAAACCACCAGGTGAGTTGAGCACTGATCAGGCATCAAAGGCAGGCAACATGTGAGCGGGCATGGGGGGACGAGGTGAGTGTCGACTTTCCCTCACCCTGACCACCTTCCCGCCACTGTCTTCATTCTTGGCTCGTCTTCCTCTTCCCTCCTTCCCTGTCTTCCTCTCAGCCACTTGCTGTCACATTACATGTAGGATGAAACTCCATATGATGTGACAGTTGGAGTTGAATGGGTGTAGCTATTGGGTTGCGCAATGCTCCTCTCCCTGCCTGCACTCCACTGCTTTCTGTCGCCGCCCCCCAATTCTCCATCTCTCCTCATCCCTGTCCATCCTGCCCCTTTCCCTCTCCTGCAGCCTGCTGCCTCTCCCCCTGGGTGCGCTCCACGTGCTGGCAGCGCTGGCCTTCCTGTGCGAGGGGCTGCTCTTCTCCCTCCACTCCACCACCCACAGCGGCGCAGAGCCGCGCTACCACCTGCTGCTCGCCCTCTGCATCGCTGCGTGTGTCGCCTGCGCGCTGCTGGCGGCGGCCTGCCCCCGCTCGTTTCTTCTGGACGCCTTCGGCAGCGGCGCCATCGCCTTGCAGGGCCTCTGGTTCTGGCAGGTGGGTGATTCGCACCTTCGAACCAAGGCTTAGCCACCTCCTCTCCAGCTCTCCTCTCTCCCTTCCTTTCCCCTCCTCTCCACCCCTCCTCTCTCCTCTCTTCCCTCCTGTCCCCTCCCCGTTTTTTCTATCTTCCACTCCCCTACTCTTAGTAAGCCACTTGGATCCTGACAAGTGGCATTCACTCCTGACTCATTCCCAACCGCAAGGCAAGCAAGCAGCAAGGCCCACTTCCACTCATTCCCCCTCCTCTCCCTAAATTCACTTCCCTGGCAAACCCGCATGTCACTGTGCCGCCCGTTCTTACCACCAGACAGCTACTTGCAGCGCAACACGGTGCCTTGCGACTCTGAGGCAAGCAAGCACCGAGACCCTCCCCTCCCTCAAACCCCCCTCCGTCCTTCGTTCCCCTTTCCGTGCAGACCGCTATGTCACTGTACGGCCCGCTCATACCATCAGGCTGCTACTTGCAGCCCAACACAACGCTGCGCTGCGACTCAGAGGAGATCGAGCACCGCGGCACGGCTCTGGCCGTCCTTCAGTTCATCGCTCTCCTTGCATCGATCCTAGTGCTCTGTCTGGTGTATTATGGCGTGGCTGCTCGCACTGCTCCGCAGCCATCCCTTGATTTCATTCGTGCAACGCATGCTGTGAAGTGTGTCGAGGGGAAGGGTTGTGTGAGCGGCAATAAGGCAGAGGTTGGGTTAGTAGGAGTGGCTCTTCATGAGGAAGAAAAGGGCACAAGGGAAATGGATTCTGGTGGAGAGGAGGAAACACGCCTTTTATCAGTAGGAAAGGACAACAGTGGGGAATATAACAGTGTGCTATAAAGTCACTCCTTGTGCTATATGTGTATCATTCAATACTATTGGAATCTATTTGTTAAGCGAATGCATATTTATACATGTTTTACTCTTTCCGTTTCCCACTTCTTTGTCATCATCCCGAGGCATCTCCTGTCTTCCAGGCGGAGACACTACAAGCGGGGTTGCCTGCACCTTCAGCAAGCGGCGGAAAACATGTCGGCAGGAAGAGACACACGAGAGTTTTGGGACGACTCGAGTCCTCAAGTTCAGGCGCCACAAGGAAGGAAGCCACGAGCAGTTAGAGCCTGCCCTGGTAGCAATTATTGCCTGGCAGCTCTCTCTTCGAATCGAAGTGCTGCTCAGGTCGGCTGCTGCTGCCGCCGCACGTGCGCCGTTGGACTAGGGCCGAACGTGGGCTCCCTCGGGCCTGCTAGAGCGGCTCGCCTGGCACGAGGGGAAGTCGTCTTCGAAGATGAGGGTCCCGCACCACTGCGGCGAGGAGAATGCGGCATGTCTGGCTGGCAGAGCGTGCATCAAGCAAGACTGCATGGGGGGAAACATACAAATAGTATCTCCTCTGCAGGCTTCTGCTGCTGCCTCTACCAGCTGCTCCTCTGCAGGTTTCGCTATCGTTGTCCACTATTCTTGCGACTACAAGTGTGGCACTAAATCGACCTGTGCGACACTATCGACCTGTGCGACACTATCGTCCTGTGCGACACTATCGTCCTGTGCGACACTATCAGCAGCATGGGCTCCTTCAACGGCCACGCCTTTGCGGGCTCCGTGGCGCTCCTCGTCGCCTTCTGGAGCCTCCGATGCGCCATTCGCGACTTCCTCGCCGCGCCGCACGCGTACGTGGCGCGCGCGTGGCACCCCGTGCCGATTCGCGGGCACTGGACGCGGCTCGCGGTGTATATTCTCGTGGGCGGCACGTTCGCGCAGCTAGTGGAAGGGCTTTGTTTGGGATTGATGTCCGCGTTACAGCGTCGACTCGATATTGTCCAGTTCGAGGTGAGCCCGTCAGAAATAGACGATTTCAAACGATTTGAGAACGCTTGTTTTCTCCAATTCAGGAAGAAAACGCCGCCCCTTTGCACCTCACTGCACCGCCCAACACCTTGCGTCACCTTGCATGTCTATTTAAAGCCCTCTCAGCTAGGGTTTCTGAAAACCTCTGTATTCTGAAGGCCACAAGTGCCTCACCAACTCTCTCCCTCTCTCCCTCCCACACCCTTCCTTTCTGCAGCATGCGATGATTTTTGTTGTCTTCGTTATAATTGGCCTCATCTTCTGTGTACACGACACAACCAGGTGAGTGCGTGGACATATGGAGAAGAATAATTTTGGAATGCGGGGTTCTCCTTAAAGCCCAAAAAACGTATGAAACACGTCCTTTGAGTGGACGGATTAACTCATTCAATAAACGAACTGTATAAATGCTACAAACTCTCATTCCAAAGTCCGCTTTTGTTCCTTCATCTCCCCCTTCTCTCCCCTCCAGTCTCCTCCCATTACCCCCGGGCTCCCTCCACATTCTATGGGCCTTGGGTTTTTTCAGCGAGGCCGTCCTAACGGCGTTCCACTCCATATCCCACCAAGGCCTCGAGCCCCGTTACCACGTCTTCCAGGCGATCGCTGCTCTCGCCTGCTTCCTGCTCGCCCTCCTCGTGGCCGCCTGCCCCTCATCCTTCCTCCTGGATGTGCTTTTCAGCTCCGGGGTTCTTTTCCAGGGCATGTGGCTGTGGACCATGGCTCTGTCCCTCTATGGAGTGCTCCAGTTACCGGGGTGTCGCAACGTGGATTATAAGATGGTTAAATGCGCAACGGAGGCGGAGGAGCATGTTGCCGTTGCTGTCGCAGACCTTCAGTTCATCACGGTGCTCGTTCTTACGGCGCTCCTCGTGCTTGCGCTCTACGCCCGGGCTGCTCGCAGCGCTCCCCGCTCGTCCATACAATTCATCCTTGCTTCAAGGGAGCCTCATTCCTCCAAAGGTTCTTCTTGGGAAGGGGTTGCGATGCATGTTGAGGGGGGCACTTTCATGGATGGGGGGAAAGCGGTGCTGGGAGAGGCTGGGGGAGCAACAGCAGCACCACTGACACCACCAGTGATAGCACCAGTGGCAGCACCAGTGGCAGCAACAGTGGCTTCACCACCAGCGGCTACAGCAGGAGCAGCAGCTGAAGGCGATGCTCATCATGCAGTGCTGCTTGCGCATGTTGTGGGCATGGAGTCCGAGAGCGAGGGGCTGCTTAACGTCAGGGTTTAGCTATGATATTCAGTTGTTACATTACATTACAATTGTCGGTTTTGTTTTCAATTCGGTTTTAAGTCCAACTCGTTATAGTGAACATCCAGCCTCTTCCACTCTTCACGTTCCAGTGCTACCCGCAACTGAAAGCGTAGTAGTGAAGTTCCGTCAAACGAGTACAAAACCTCGGAGAAATCTAGGGGGACTGTATTTAGAGCCATGTCGATGACAACATCCAGTGCGGCTCCTGCTACAGTAAACGTTTACTGTACGACACGGGATACATCTCGGAGCTGCGTGAAATCGAAGCGATGGGCTCCTTTGAAGGCCACGTCATTCCTGGAACGCTTTTCCTCCTGGTGGGACTGTGGCACCTGCGATGCGGGATTAAGAACTACCTCGCGGCGCCGCAAGCCTTCGTGTCGCGAGTATGGCATCCCGCGCCGCTCCCCGGGCACTGGTCGCGTCTCGAGCTGTACATAATAGTGGCGGGGTCGTTCCTCGATATGACGCTAGTGGAGCTCGGAGTCGGAACCGGGTTTCGCCCCATCGAGAATGGCGGCGTCGCTCCCGGCCAGCTGAATAATTTCGAGGTACATTATTAGACACGTCTTTAATCACCTCTCTAGGTATGTTAGCACCCTTGTTGTTACGAAATGGTAGCGTGAGCACCTTACATTCTGTTTAGATTTCCTTCACGAGCATTGTATAACACTACCGCCGTGTTCAACCGAGTGGCCTTCTCCGGTTGATTTTCTAGAGCGCATTGCTCCTCTGCCTGCCTTGCCCCTTGTCATGCATGCTCCCTTATAACATGCCTCTGTACTGCTCATGCTTCTTGTGCTGTGCTGCGCTTTTCATCTGCATGCTATCCTCTCTGCATTCCCACCTTCATGGTGCCCCTCCACTACAATTTGAACCATGCAACTTGTCCATGCAACTTGTCGATGCAACTTGGCCATGCAACTTGGCCATGCAACTTGTCGATGCAACTTGGCCATGCAACTTGGCCATGCTAGGCGCCTCAAAACTACATTCCCACCTTCATGCTATTGAGTAGACTCATTCCCACTGTCATGCGATTCCCTCCACTACAATTTTGAACCATGCAACTTGTCCATGCTATGCTACTCATGTCGTCTCGTTGTCATGTGTCGTTCCGTTCACTTGCATTTCACCCTCGTCTCACTTCGCTCTCACCTAGATTCCGCCCCTCCCAACCCTGCGTCCTGCTGTCCATTCCCACGTGGCTCTGACCCACCTGTTTTCTATCCCTCCCCACCCTGCTCCTGCTGTCCATTCCACCATCACGCGCAGCACGCGTCCATGCTGCTCATGTTCTTCGTGCTGGGCTGCGCCGTTCTCGTCAGCGAAACCACCAGGTGAGGTGAGCGCTGATCAGGCATCAAAGGCACGCACCATGTGAGCAGCTCCATCAAATGGCTGCTTTTCATCTGCATTCTGTCCTCACTGCATTCCCATTCACGCTCTCCATCCCACTCAGGGTTTCGCGCTTCCCTGCCTACTCACCATACATCCACACCATCCCTCACCATCCTCCCCTCTCCTTCCAACCCCAGCCTGCTGCCCCTCCCACAAGGCGCGTGCCACATCATAGCAGCGCTCGCCTTCCTCTGTGAAGGGTTGCTATTCTCACTGCACTCCACGGCCCATCACGGCCTAGAGCCGCGCTACCACCTGCTGTTGGCCCTCTGCATTGCCACCTGTGTCGCCTGCGCGCTGCTGGCGGCGGCCTGCCCCCACTCCTTCCTTCTGGATGCCGTTGGCAGCGCCGCCATCGCCATGCAGGGCCTCTGGTTCTGGCAGGTGGGTGATTCGCTTCTTCATACCATACCATACCATACCATACCATACCATACCATACCATACCATACCATACCATGCCATACCATACCATACCGTACCATACCATACCATACCATACCATACCATACCATACCATACCATACCATATCATACCATACCATACCAAACCATGCCGTACCATACCGTACTGGACCATAAGTTGGGTGCTGCCCTCCCCCAATCGTTGGCGGATGCTGTTGGCAGCGGTGCCATCGCCATGCAGGGCCTCTGGTTCTGGCAGGTGGGTGATTCGCTTCTTCATACCATACCATACCATACCATACCATACCATACCATACCATACCATACCATGCCATACCATACCATACCATACCATACCATACCATACCATACCATACCATACCATACCATATCATACCATACCATACCAAACCATGCCGTACCATACCGTACTGGACCATAAGTTGGGTGCTGCCCTCCCCCAATCGTTGGCGGATGCTGTTGGCAGCGGTGCCATCGCCATGCAGGGCCTCTGGTTCTGGCAGGTGGGCTGCATTGCCATGTCTCGTCCTGCTATGATCACCATCGTTACCAGCACTGTTGGGGCTCTGCGGCATACCACCTCCTGCTCCCCCCTCCCCATCTCGCTTCCCCAGTTCACTTTCCCCCTTTCCCTCGTTCGCTACCTTCCCCTCATATTCCTCCACCCCATCCCTTCCCTTATTTGCGCTCTTTCCCCTCCGCAGACCGCCATGTCACTGTACGGCCCGTTCATTCCATCAGGCTGCCACCTGGAGCCCGACACAGTCTATTGTGACTCTGAGGCGAGTGAGCACCGCGGCATGGCTCTGGCCGTGCTGCAGTTTATCGCCCTCCTTGCATCGACTCTCGTGCTCGCGCTGGTCTATTACGGCATGGCTGCTCGCACTGCTCCGCGGTCGTCCCTGGATTACATTCGTGCAACGCATGCTGTGAATTGTATCGAGGGCAAGGTTAGTGAGTGTGACAATAAGGGAGATATCATGCCAGGGTCTCTTGATGAGCACGAGAGCAGCGTTATGGATATGGATGCTGCCGTAGAGGACACAAGTCTGTTATCATCAAAATCATAGCAATGGGGAACTTGCCAGTGTGGCATAAAGCTTGGCATTTGTTCCTCATGCGTGGGGCGAGGGGTTGCACAATTAGGCTCAATAAAAATTGTTTCTGCCCCCTCGTGAAGTCCCCAGACTCGCCGTCTGATGTTGCTTGTTCTCCGCAGAAATCAGAGCTAAGGGTGGTACTGATACTTCGGTGAGTGCTTGACTGCAAATGTAACCATTTTGGGCTCTATTGTTGTCAACTTGTCCAGATTGTGATTTTTGAAGTATGCGTGTCGCCAGAGTCTGTATTTTCCACTCCAACGAAACACGCTACAATCGGGGTTTCTCCGCATAGGCACCCCACCTAGGGCTAGGAAAATGTCGGCCGGACCATACAAGCGGCGCTCCGCCTGGCTCTCGCTCGTCTCATGTGGTGCTCGTGACGCAGGTTCGGGTTTCCACGAGCAGCCTCGGGCTTTGGTTTGAGGCGGCCTGGTGCAGTGCGACAGTTCGTGCCTTTCCCGGCCTTTCCACTGGAAATGTACCGAGGCTGAGCTTGGTTGAGACGTGACGAAGCTCGCGAACTCTTTTCGCCAAAACGGGAACCCTTCAACAAGAGGGGCGTGTGTGCTGCACTGTACGAGTCACGCAAAGTTGAGGTCCCGTTCCCATACCATAACCGCAGCCTCGGCAATTTCAGCGGGTTCGTTGGGTTCTGTGCGGTTTAGCGGGTGCTGAAGCGTGGATGATTTCTTCGATCCTCCATTCTGTTCCATTCCATTCCGTTCGGTTCCGTTGTGCGTGCCTGGCACGATGGCATTCAATTCGATTCTGTCTTCTTGTGACCCGTCACACCTTCGAGAGGCGGGAGGAGAGGGTTGTCAGTCAGGGCAGGTCCAAATAGTTCATACTCTATTCATTTTCGTGAAAGTAATCCGATTTTAATAAACAATACCTTGTTTAAGGTTCGCCAGGACACGAAAGAAACTGACGCGTAACGTGGGATACCCTTCACATGCGTCGGGCCATGTACCAGATTTCGGATTGTTAACGTAAAAAAGCCGTGAGGTGCAAGATTTGGGAACGGGGTTCCAAGTGTCGTGCCTGGATTTCGCCTCGCTGGCTGTGGCGAAAACCAGGCGACGTCGCGAATGCATGTGCGCACGTGACGCCAGACCACATCCTCGACCGAACCCGCCACGAGTTGAGTGTGGCTAAGGTGATTTTCCCCGCCTGCTGTATTTTATGCGCTGCGAAACAGTTTTTTCGCGCAGGTATAAATTTGGTAACTGCGTTTTGGGCCGTTACGCGCCGTTCGGTTTTCTCACAACTCGACAATCGGCGTCCCGCTTGTGCGCTACGTGCGAACGGGGACACAATTTCTGGTGTTTCATGGACATGTACCCGGGTTCGTAAAATCGTGTCCCAAACTCCGAAATAAACTATTTAGACCCACCCTCATATCATCTCATCCCATTCGCGCATTGCAATGCAACTCGGGGATCTGGGCTTTAATTCATCATCTCTCAGCAGGTCTGTGAGGGGTGTCCTGTCCTCCGCGACAAGCCTCTGCGATGACTGGGAGGGGCTGTTCTAAGGCGTGCACCCTCAGAGAGGGTCTCTGGAGGTCTGTGAGGGTCTGCGGGTGTCCCCGAGGGTATGTAAGGGTCGGAGAGAGTACCTGGCGAGTAGAAGCCCCGCACCGCATTGTCCTGCTGGTAACAGCTGTGGTGGGAAGGGAGGATGAGGCTAGGAACGGACTCGCCATTTTTGAGTCGACTCAAAAATCGACTCATTACACATGAAGCTAAGAACGGACTCGCCAAGTCCAAGAGTGACACTTGTCGCTCCTCACGTCACCATTGTTGCTGGCCGTCGACTCGGTTCGTCGCGTCTAGGGACTCGTCCCAGAATCGTCCCTGACTCAAGCGTCTGGCGCTGCTGCTACCACTGCGACTGTTGCTAGGTCTCGAAGACCACGTAGCAGCAAACCGGTAAACCGGTCACCACCGGCGGTAATGGGGTCTCTTTTCGGGCACTCCTTCGCGGGCACCGTCGCGCTGATATTCGCCTTCTGGAACCTCCGCAGCGCCATTCGCGCGTATCTCGCCGCGCCCTACGCCTACGTGGCGCGCCCGTGGCACCCGGCGCCGATTCGCGGGCACTGGGTGCGGCTCGCGGTGTACGTCATTATCTTCGGCACGCTCTGCCAACTCTTGGAGGGGTTGTTCCTGGGGTTGCTGTCCGTGTTTATGCATCAGTTCGCTATCGTTCAGTTCGAGGTGAGGCTCCGTCCGTTTGCAGGGTATTTCTGAGAATTCTCAAAAATACCTTGCAGCTCATGGAAGGGCTGTTCCTGGGGCTGCTGTCCGTGTTCATGCATCGCTTCGCTATCGTTCAGTTCGAGGTGAGGCTCCTTTTGAGGCGCCTCAAAAATGGAAGGGCTGTTCCTGGGACTGCTGTCCGCGTGTATGCATCGCGTCGCTATTGTTCAGTTCGAGGTGAGGCTCCGTCCGTTTAGAAGCAACTGCATTCTCCCCAAAGCGCGAGTTCGGGAAAGCGCCGTTCTCGTTGCCTTTCTCCTTATCCACACACCCTTTCTAACCACACTGCACCGCACTGGACCTTGCTTCACCTTGCATTTTCACGGTGCTCTGCACCGTGATCTGCCGCTAATGCTTCTTTCTATCTCTCTGTCTCTATCTATATCTCTTTCCCATCCTCCAACATGTTTTCCCTTGCGCAGCATGCCTTGCTCTTTGGTGTCCTCGTTATAATGGGCCTCATCTTCTACGTGCATGACACAACCAGGTCAGTACACGGAAACTGTACTTGTAGCAAGTTACAAATGCAGGGCTTTAGATGAAGAGCATCGTTTCCCTTGTCATAGCAGCGGATGCTACAAATAGGTCTCGTTTTCCAATCCTGCCTTCTCACTCTCCACCCTCTCCTCCCCTCTCCTCCCCTCTCCTCCCCTCTCCTCCCCTCTCCTCCCCTCTCCTCCCCTCTCCTCCCCTCTCCTCCCCTCTCCTCCCCTCTCCTCCCCTCTCCTCCCCTCTCCTCCCCTCTCCTCCCCTCTCCTCCCCTCTCCTCCCCTCTCCTCCCCTCTCCTCCCCTCTCCTCCCCTCTCCTCCCCTCTCCTCCCCTCTCCTCCCCTCTCCTCCCCTCTCCTCCCCTCTCCTCCCCTCTCCTCCCCTCACCTCCTCCCTCCTCCTCCCTCCTCTCTCCTCCTCCCTCCTCCTCTCTCCTCCTCCTCCCCTCTCCCTCTCCTCCCCTCTCCCCCCCTGCAGCCTCCTGCCGCTACCCCAGGGCGCGCTGCACATCATCTACGCCGTCGTCTTCTTCAGCGAGGCCACGCTCACAACCTTCCACTCCATATCCCACCAAGGCCTCGAGCCCCGCTACCACCTCTTCCAGGCGATTGCTGCCTTCACCTGCTTCCTGCTCGCCCTCCTCCTGGCTGCATTCCCCTACTCCTTCCTCCTCGACACCGTTTTCCACTCGGCGTTCCTCTTTCAGGGCTTCTGGCTCTGGACCATGAGCCTGACCCTCTATGGAGTGCTCCACTTACCGGGTTGTCGCAATGTGGATTATAAGAAGGTTATTTGTGAAACGGAGGCGCAGGAGCATCTCGGCATTGCCGTGGCCGGCATTCAGTTTATCTGTGTGCTCCTCTTTACGGCGCTTCTTGCTCTCACTCTCTACTCCAGGGCCGCTCGCAACGCTCCCCGCTCGTCCATAGAATTCATTCTTGCGTCAACCCAGCCGCGTTTCTCCAAAGGCTCTGATTGGGGAGGTATTTTTGGAAATGTCGATGCGTGTATTGCCACAAATGGGGAGAAAGAGGTGCAGGGAGAAGGTGAAGGGGAAGCAGCTCCAGACACAGCACTGGTACCTGCAGCAGCAGCAGCAGCTGAAGCAGACAGTCCTGCAGCGCGCCTTGCACATGCTGTTTTGACCGTGGAGAGTGAGAGTGCCATGTTGCTTGGGTAATGGGCTTCAACCCTTTTAGTTGCATCTGTGACAGGGTTCAGTAGTGAATGACCTGTAAGCCCAGCCATAAAAGTTCTCAGTTCACGTCTGAATTCAGAGAAGCTGTGGACTTCTAAAAAATATTTTGAATCACTTGTACATGTACTTTTTATTTCAAACCCATTATTACTGCTACCACTACCTCACAACCCTAATCAGCTCCTCCTATCAGCCTCACCCCGTTATTGCGTCAATGGATGGGGGACGCGAGTGTTATATTAGGGGCAGAAAAGTGCTCGTTCCAGCGCAGTGAGTCCTGGTGTTATTGAAGCGAGCAGTTGCAGACGCCATCCTCGATACTGCACGACTCGGTTCGGAAGCCCATAGCAACAGCCTCGTGATCGCTGCACAGATATGGAAGCGAGTGGGGAGAAACAGATTGAAATTACAGAATGCTAATGGAGACTGAAGCGGAAAGGAGCAAAACCTAGGGGAACTGCGACGCCATGCCTTGCATTGCAATACCAACAGAGTTTAACTATGCCGCCCGCCAATTCTTTCCTCTCCCCCGAAGCAACCAGCCAACCCACACACCCCTTCTCCCCATCCCCGCCTCCCCCCCAAGCCTAATCCGCGCGCACTCCCCCAATTCCCCACGCACGCACCAGCGGCGGAATTCCCTGACGGCCGTGAGCGCCGCGCCCTTCGCCTCGTCCAGCCACTGTACGCGCAGCCCCCTCGATGCGCTCTTGGACAGCGACGACGACCGCGATGGCTTTAAAGCCTGGCCGTTATCGCAAGACGGCGACGCGGAGAACAGGTGGTGGGTTGCGAGCACGGGCACGGGCCCCGCGACGAGGTCCCACTCCCAGCAGTCGACGGCGGGCGGGTGTATGTGGGGTAATTCCGCCTCGATATCCTCGAGACACTCGAGGAGGAACTGGGAGACGTGGGTTCGAATCTTGGTGGACGCGCATAGCCCGTCGTGCAGAGCTTGGGTAAGGGTGACGGCTAAGGAGAGTGAGAGAGCGGATAGGGACGAGCCGCACGGGGAATCTAGGAGGGTGGCGTGGGCAGAGTTTAGGATTGCAAGAGAGGTGTTGAGACCCGTGGCGTAGTGCTGGTTTTCCGAGGCTTCTAGAACCGGCGTGGGTTCGACTCCTGATACGCGCAGTTCTGATGGTCCGGCCAGGCTGGGAGGCTCCAGAAGAACGGATGGTGGTCCGGAAGCGAGGGATGCGACGGCCATTGTCACGGTCTAACTCTGTCCCGGAATCTCGACAAATTGGGCGATGGCTTTCTTGTCACTACAAGAGGAGGGACGACAGGGAGCTGTGGCTGGAATGCACGATACGGCACTAGTTAAAAAAAAGGTCGAACTGCACGGCGAACGCTCTCTGGTAATGAGCTGCGTGAGGCTAATTCTGTGCGAGTGGACCCGAGCGATATTAGATCCGATTACGTAAGGAGCACACGAAGACGCTGGTGCAAGCACCAGGTAAATTAGTCGACGGAGGTGCTCAATTTATGCAGCAGCGACTATGCTACAATCGTGCTCAACTAACGCGTTGAGGCAAAAACTACAGTATTGAAGCGGCCTAACCTAACCTAACCTAACCTAATCCAAGCCTCCTTTCTCCATACAAGAAGTTCTTGTAGTAATCCTTGCCTCCCTGCTCGTTCCGTGATTGAACACAAATGTTAGGTACGTTGATGTGCCCGACCAGTGTAACTCGAACCAGTTGTTCTAGCCACGGAACTGGTTCGGTACTTACTGAGCTTCGAGGTAAGGAAGTTGTGGTTGTGAAATGGTGTCGGGCGACGCTGCTTCGTGCTGCCTGATCGGATGGCGCGACTCGCATTATCCTACAGGTGACGGGCGAACGCACATCACGTACGCGTACCTGTGATTGGTGGAGATCTCTGTACATGACATCTGCAGAGGGTTGACATCGCTGGTGTAATGAGGGAGGGCTCTTTTTTCAGATAGTCCCTGCCCAGGATTTTCCCTCCGTATGATAATTTATCGCGTCTCAGCCAAGAATGGCACCAATCCTTCCAGCATGTTCGTGTTTGATGAAGTGAAAGCATGTTGTTTGTGTTCCACGGTCAGGAAGGTCGAAGAAAGTGTTGGTATTTGCCAATCAACGAGCACCACAACCACGAGGTTCGCCAAGCGTCCGTTGCCGAACCGCTGTCGAGGCGACGCCGCCGCAAATGGCGCTGTAACCAGGCAAGTCTTGATGACGGCATACAAGCTCGGGTCGCCGCCGTCTGTTCCCATATCGGAGACGAAAACTTCATATTTGCCAATTTGCACTCAATCTGCCAATTTGCACATATGTACATGTTAGGTGCAGTTTCTAGCTCAATATGCAGGACCGGGAATATCAAAAGCGAGTACGTTCAACCGAAGTTTCTCTCGTACAACAAGCGATGCTGTCGTCATCGTCTGCTGTGGGTTGCGCAACATCCTCCAAAAGCATGGGGCGCTACCTCACCGGCATAACACGTGTCTTCGATCCACGCCGCCACCTCACATTCAGTGCTTTGTGTGGCGTCGGCATTCGCCATTCGTGTGCCCTAGATCGGGGAACCAGCCTACTCATGCAGCTGACTCTGCATAGCGGATGGCACATCGAGACATCTATCTAGAGATGAACGGATGAGATGCAATATTCCGAAATGTAGGGCTCCGAGCCGCCGTGATTCTGGACAGGCTCAGGGAATACCTCGCTTCGCGTTGCCTAGTCACACATGGCAGATGGTTCACTCTACTCACTGAGGGCGTGTAATAAGGTGGTCTGCGTTTCCAGACGTTTCTTCTTGAATCTAGAACGTTTGGGTAGGGTATTGAGCAAAAATGAACGCTTGAGTGTACCTTCGTAAGGTCGGTTGTACCGAGTCAATTTGTTTGTAGGGTGGGTGAGGCCAGCCCGAGGAGTACTTCGGCTGGGCTGTTGGACTTGGTTGGTTGGCACTGGACAATCAACCTCTTCCCAGCATTCATTCCATCCCACATAGGCTTAGAAAACCTAACAAAACAACTGCTGCACGCGTCCATGGCGGACGTGGATTGCGTTGGAACTGTCGCACTGGGGGTGAACCAGTCACCAGGGCCCGTGAAGAATTTTGACCCTCGCAACGACACGCCTTCGTGCCGATCCGTCCCTCTCCATCCAGTAGTGCAACCCGACGCACACGCGACACCCGTAATAAGCGCTCGTCCAGCGTTAGGTTCTCCTATCGGCGATTCCTTCTCCGCTAGCATTCCGCTTCCTCATCCCCCCTCGCCCGCATCCACGCCACCGGTCCCCCTCAGAAGCGCCGATTCTCCACAAGCTCGAAGCGAGATGTCTTCAATCGAGGACAGCAACCCGGCCGCACATCTGGCTCCTCCTAGGCCGATATCGAAAGGCAACATTCGATCGCGTTACTCCATCGCTCGCCGCATCGGCCGGGGGCGGTTCGGCTCCGTCTACGAGGCCCTAGACCGCACCACGAACACCTGCGTCGCCATCAAGAGCATCCCTAAAGCGCGCCAGAGCACCCTGCCGCCGCTAATCGGGCCCAAGGTGACCGAGGCTGACGTGGTACGGCAGCATCGGCTGGTCGAATCGGAGGCCGAGATCAGCCTCATGCTCGGGTCCGCTATACTAGCCGGTCCAGCAGAAGAGCCGGATCAAATCGGTCAACCGGCTGTAGCTGTATCGACGGGTCAAACCGTCGCACTTGAACCGGCTGTAACCGACGCCGCAGTAGCTGATGAGGCGGCGGCTGTAGCAGCAGCGGGGCAGGGCAAAGTGGTGCAGGTGCTATCTGTGGTGGAGGGCAGGCGGCACTTCCACATCATCATGCAGCTCTGCCTCGGCGGGTCGCTCGCCGACTTCCTCGAGAAGCGCCGCCGAGGCCAAGTCGCCACCTTGGCCGCCGCATCCGTCGCCGCGCCTCCCGCCGCCTCTTCCGCCGCACTTGCCGCTCCCCCTATCCCGTGTCCCGTGCACCACCATCAAGGCGATCGGTCCCCCCTGTCAGCTATCAGTGCCGACGGCGGTTCCTCACCTGCCGCTGCCCTGTCTGCTGACTCCGGAATCAGCTCCCCGTCTCCGCCGGCGGCGGGCGCGGCGTCGGATGCGGAGAGTAGCCCGAACAGATGGTATCAAGCGGCAACGTGGGCCTCGAACTCGGACGAGGGGGAAGTGGAAGGAGGAGAGGACGTTTTCTCTGCAGGGCGCGATTGGCGGCATAGGATGAGAGAAGAAGAGCGGTTGGGGGGGACTCGGAGTGGAATGGGGAGCGAAAGGGAGAGCGAGGTAATTGATGGAGCGACGGATCAGGAGGACGAAGACTTCGTGGCGTCGCAGCTGAAAGCTGATTGGGTGCCGCGAAAGGCGCTGACTGGGAAGGGCATGGAGAAGTCCGCATCGACCGGTGAGCTGGCGCACCTCGCGGACGCAGCAGCGGCTGCTGCGGCGTCATTCGCGGCAAAATCGTCCACGTCAGCAGGAGCTGACTCAGCAGGGGTAGCAGGGGCAGCAGGGGCAGCAGGGGCAGCAGGGGCAGCAGGGGCAGGAGGGACAGGAGGGGCAGGAGGGGGTGGGGGGGCAGGGATAAGCAGGGTGGTGGTGTATGGAGGGATGACGGAGGAGGGAAGGAAGCGGCAGCAGGAGTGGGAGGATGAAGCAGCGTGGATCGTTTCTGAGATCGCTGCAGCTGTGGCTTATTGCCACAAACGGGGCATCTTACATCGAGACATCAAACCAGAGAATGTTCTCCTGACACTGCCGCCCAGCTCACAGCCAATCACAAAGCCGACAGTTGCTGCCTCCTCTGCTCTTTCCCCCTCCATCTCAGCCTCGTCCTCCCGGGACCAAACTTTTCGATCTGCCTGTGCTGTGGGGCGGTCGATATCAATGAAGCCGAGCAGCGAGTTCCTGCGCAAGAGCCCATCCTTCTCGCTTCTCTCCAACGCTGCTGCTGCTACTGCTGACGATGCACTGGGTAGGCCCGCGCCATGCCGCTACCAAGCAGCCAGCCAAGGTGCTGCTGTTACCCATCAGCCCCATGCTGGTGATCCCCATGCGCATGGCAGGGCGCATGGCCATAGGCGCTCAGCCTCTCTCGCCAACTGGCTGGGGCGAGCCAGCCTTCGGAAGAAATACCAGCATCAGCAGCAACTCAGGGATGGAGGCAAGTCTTTCAAGGCAAGCTCTCCAGATCTCCCTACCTCTACCGATAGTGAAGCTGCCCCACTCCCCTCATCCACCTGCACATGCCAGCAGCAGCACTCTCTCAGCATTCCACATTTCGCTCCTTGCTTCCAAGGGCTGCGTTTGGCTGACTTCGGCCTGGCAGAGAAGCTCCAACCGGGGCAAGCAGCCACTCGAGGCCTGGTTGGTAGCCCTGCCTACGTGGCACCTGAGGTGGCCGCAGGGCTCCCTGTCAGCTTCCCTGCAGACGTCTGGGGCATCGGCATTTGTCTGTACATGGTGCTGTCGGGTGGCCAGCTGCCGTTCTCCGGGCGGCGCACTCGGCTTCTGCTGTTGAACATCCGGCGGGCGCAGCTCCCCATGGGGTCAGTGGCGTGGGTGAGCGTGTCAGGAGAAGCGAAGGATGTGGTGAGGAAATTGTTGGCTGCTGAGCCCAAGGGCCGGCCTAGTGCGGAGGAGGTATTGCGGATGCCGTGGGTGGTGAGGGGGAGAGAGCGGTGGATTGAACGACAGAGAGGCCTGGTGGCTTGAGGTAGCGTGCATTGTGCGCCCTTCCTTCGCAGCTGAGATTTTGTATATTTGATTAATTGTGCTTGCTGAATTTGCCCTCATAACCAAATGATACTTGTTGTATCCTGGCCAGTAGGTTGTCGCCAGTAATGTCGGATATAGAATGATTCGGATCAATTAACGAATTTGTCAACAGCAGATATATAACATTGGCGCGCACCCAAATCTCACGTGGTGAAAGCTTACAGGCTGGACTACTCCCGACAGTCCCATAATCAACGCTTACAACCGCACGATGGAAATCAGGAGTCAACACACCAATCTGCTCGGCCCTGGTCAGTCCTGACACACAGACCCTCGGTTCGGATCCGACCGACGAAATTTGACGGGCGCCAGCAAAATGGCAGGGAGGGAGTGCTCTGGTTCGTACACTAGCCAGGCTGCCTTCGGAATTCCCCTTTTCCTGCTGCAGCATCCTCCCATCCCAGCCCCGACTCATTCCAGGCCCGAGATTCTCCTGTTTCTCGCATCCCCCAGCTACATCACCCTGATGCGCTGGATGGGAAAATAGTTAGCTGGGTGTTGCAGATCAAGTTTGATTTACATTATCAGCCAGAAATGCTTCGTTGTTTTAGACAAGTCCAGCCAACCCTTCTAAGTTCCCGATAGCTTGGCTTGATACGTTGCCAGGAGTAACGATGTTCCGGAAGTCGAGGCGGTTGTCCAATGCAAACGCGGTTTCAGTTCCGTCCCAGGACCTGCTAAGCTTGCTGGACGAAGAATGGGGTATGCCGAAGGTGAAAGGCCAGGAAGTTCAAAAGGATAGTCCGAGTCACTTTCCTGGGGTTCCTGTTAACAGGAGTCTTCAGCCGAGCATAGGCAATGATCTGGGTCCAGAAAAGCCGGAACCTACTCCCGAACGTTCAGCGTCGCTCCATGCACATTCGCCAGAACCTCTGCGTCGGGAAGCCTCTCAACCCGGACCCAACCCAGTTGAAGCCCATGATCCCTCCACTCCGCCTCGCTCGCCAAATCTGTCTACGAGATCAGACGAGTTCAAGGAGGCTGGCGACAACGGAGCTGAGGAGATGCCTTCGTTGTCATCCGTCTCCAGCACGGAAGCATCATCTTCTGCCGGAGCGACTTGCAACGGGGACCAACGAGACGGCGATAGGGAATCTTGTGATTCGCAGGAGTCCACGTCAGGCTGGTCCACGGCTTACACCACGTGGCCGTCTAACTTCCATTCTACCTCCGCGTCCGTTATCATGAGCCTGAAGCGGGGAGGCGGAGATCTTTCTTCGTTACTCCTCTGGTCGTTTCTGTTGCTTCCAGTGGCTCCCCTGATCCTCATCTCACTACCCTTCTGTCTGCTAATGTTAACCCTGCTCGTCATCGGAGCAACATTCGCTTACACGTCATTTGCTGGTAAGCTCCGTCAGTCGTTGCTGGAATACCCTTTTCGCTCACTCGCGCTACCATTCGAGGCCTGACATGTGTGCCCCACCTCCTTCTCTTTCCAGGCACTTGCATCGGCTGTGCGACTATCCTCTCACTACTTCAAAGACGGCTACCCGAGCCGAAACGCGTTCGCTTGGCGGACGGACGGCTTCTGGCGTGGCAGGAGTCTGGAGTCCCGCGGGAAAGCGCTCGTCACACGCTTCTGGTCGTCCACGCACCACCCCTGTGCCGCACAGCGGGTTTTCCAGGCCTCAGGTATTCCTCTCCACTCGCCGCCTCTTGCCATGCCATTTTTCCGTCATGGTTGATTGGACAACATTATGCTAACGGGCCCATTATGGTGTTATTTGTTGATACGCAGCGAGGCATTCTTCCATCAACGGTCCATCCGCGTGATCTCCTTCGACCTTCCTGGCACCGGATTCAGCGATCCTCTCCCCCTCCAAGCCACCACCACGGCGGCATCATTTGCCTCTGCTGTTGCTGACGACATCAAGCAACTAGCACACCAGCTGCACCTGGCACCTGGGCTGTGGATAGTGGGCTTCGGCCTAGGGTCTCCTCTTGCACAGGAGGCTGCTGAACGGCTGGGCCAAGGGCTGGTAGCAGGCCTGCTGCTGCTGGGGCCACCAGGGGTTCTAAACACGGGTGAAGATGCTGCGATGCACGAGGATGCTAGGTCCCGTGAAGGGTGCATGCCAAAGGCTGGTACACATGTGCATGTGGAAGCTGGGGACAGGGGTCCAGGGGAGCAGCCTGAGGTGATGATGCCGCGGCAGCAGGGTGGCGGGGTGTGGCAGCTGGTGCAGTCATTCAGAGGGCGTGTAGCGAGCACGGTGTTGCGGATAGTGGTTCCCCGTGTGCTGGTACAGTCAGTTGTGGCGCTGCTCCGGGCCTCACCTGTGCTTCTGAAGTGGATTGTCACTGCCACCTCGCTTCGTCCCATCTCTCCCCGCGTGGTCTCGCTTATATGTGGTACGCCCCACACCCTGATTTTTGCATACAGGCTGTTTTGAGCTTTGTTTCAAGGCACAGAATTTGTCTGCGTTTCCAGCTTAAACATCCTTCTGCATCCCCTCTTCCTGTTCCTCTGACTCTCTCCCGTCCTTCATCTTTCTCCTCCCTCCTGCAAACATCTTTCTTTATGCAAACCATCTCCACTCTACTTGTCCCGTCTTGTTTGTGGAACAGATGGCTTGTTGGATGCACTTCAGCAGGGCGATCTTCCCTACTTGCTGAATCTTCTGGTCCTAACACTGCAGCCGCACAGCACCCTGCCTAGTCCTGCTGCTAACAACCCGTTCTTCTCAGGGCCTGTCTACACCTACAAGGTGATGTTTACAAGTCCGCATGCCAACTCTGCTGTGTGAATAATCCTCTGATTTTTTCCCGCGTGGACCAGTTGGTGTGTTATACCCTTCTACATAATGCTGCAGAAGTTGGTCGGTGGTGAAGTCTAGGTTGCTGAAACCGTGATGTGTTATTCCTTGCTGATATCTTACGTTGTGTGGCAGGTATTTGACGAGCCAAGATCTCAGAACCTTTTGCCAGAGGCAATGTTTGAAGGTTGAAGATGTTAGAATCTAATTGCCGGAGGCAACGCATGAAGGTTGAAGCATTAAATAAAGAGAGCCTTGTAGATTAACCTGAAAGCAATCCTGTAATCATGCATTGCTTCGACATACATTGGTGTGCTTTTCTACTTGTCCTAACAATATCATGTTACTGAATGAACAATTTGCCTCGCCTACAAAAGTCTTAGCCATGCTGGTACAAGCAGCATTTACAGCTGACACAAGATCCACTTCAACATCACCTTAGCGAGGACAAGTGCACCACCTGCCTTCGCTTCAGCTTGGGTAGTCCTTGGTCGTGTGCTTCGCTTTCTGCCTACCTTTCACCTTCCTATCTTGTTCCCATACCGTCCTTCACACGCCTTGTATAAGTTGGCTTGTGTCTTGTCACTACTAGCTTTTTCAAAGCTCTCTGAATATCTGAGAATCCGGTTTTCTCGTGTCGCCTAAGATCTTCTCCCGATTATCCTCGTCCCCGCTTGTAGCGCACTGATAGGCAGATAGCAGTTCTGAGAAAGAGGGGTTGCTGCTCGTCTTCGGGAGTATCGTAGAGTTTTCCCACTGAGCCGATATGATTAACTTAGGTATGATTAAGAAGAAGCAACGGGAAGCAGCGGAAAGCAATAATGGCAGAGCTCCAGGGAGAAAACAGTCGGCTGGCGAGTTGAGAGTTCAGAAGGGTGAGCCATCGCTGTCACCACTTTTAGTTCGGCGTCAAGTTGTGCGACGATTTCCTTTAGCCATTGGAAACCGAGAACGGTACTAATTGTTATGCTGTTGCGTGCAGATATTTCCGAGTTGAATCTTCCGTCGACAACGAGCATCTCATTTCCAGAGGGAAAGGATAACCTTCTGAAGTTCGAGATTACGATTCGGCCAGATGAAGGCTACTACTTGTAAGAACGGCTTTATCTTCACGTTTCAGATGCCTTGTTTCGAGATCTTGCCTGTTCTATGCTTTCGGCCTCCATTGATTTCCTATCATGGTCGCACTGTTCCTTTGCTGTTTTCACCTGGTCCCTCCCTACAGGGGAGGAACTTTCACGTTCAGTTTCGAGGTACAACCGTCTTACCCTCATGAAGCCCCCAAAGTGAAGTGCAAAACCAAGGTACAGCAGAAAAGCGACTTAGTAGGTGTCACATCATGTTGTCGCCTGTGCAAGAGCGTCTCGATTCTGATCACCCCTCATGTCACCTGCAGGTGTACCACCCTAACATTGACCTAGAAGGGAATGTGTGTTTAAACATTTTGAGAGAAGACTGGAAGCCCGTCCTAAGCATCAACTCCATTGTATATGGCCTGCAATTCCTCTTCCTGGTACGTGCACTCGTGGGAGGCATCAGATGTGTTGAATGAGGGGTTGGTGGTTGGAAGGAAGACTAAGAAATGTTGGGGTTTTGTGGGATGTTAAAGTAGTCAAATTTACGGGGGGGTGGGGGGGATGGGTGGGAATGCAGTGCTGCCAGATCCCTATTTATGCCCTGGATTCCCACGCCCTAACATTTCTTTCCCACAGGATCCCAATCCCGATGACCCGTTGAACCATGAAGCAGCAGAGGTTCTGCGCACTAATCCTCGGCAATTCGACTATAATGTCAAGAGGTCTATGGCTGGCGGGTATGTTGGAGGACATCAATTTCCCCGTTGCCTATGAGTCCAGGACTGGCAAGATGGCTGGCTTCATAAGCCTATCATGAGATACATTGCACAGGTCATGCCTTGTTTGATGGTTGCGTGTTTCTGGCATGGAGCTGGTTTCAATGGGCTGGCACAATGAGATGTGTTTTAGGAAGCTGAGTTCCTGGCCTGGAACAGCTGTGGCCTAGCATGAATAGGGTTTGTGTAGGGTTCTGCCATTCAGAAGCAACATTCTAGCCTGGGTTAATGAGCTCCCATGGGTTTGTCCTTCACTGTGTTGGTTCATGCAGTTCATGTGATTGGCGGTTTTCTTAGAAACTGAAAAGAATGATTAGAGAGAGAGTGTGTATAGGAATATATCTAAGTGTTGTACCTGTCAAACATGTGTATTTGTCATGTTTGTATAGACTGTATAGGGTCGCCTCTTAGAGAGTACAACACTTAGGTATATCTGTGTGTACTCTCACTCTATCTAATTCACTTGTTCAATTTCTGATATGGTATCACGCGTAGGTAGGATCCCCCCCACCTACCGCTTCCGCTCGCCCCCCCTAGCCTCGTCGCGACCCCCCCCTAGCCCCGTCGCGCCCCTTCCTGGGACCCGTCGCGCCCCTCCCTGGGCCCCGTCGCGCCCCTTCCCAGGCCCCGTCGTGCCCCTCCTGGGCCCCGAAGCGCCCCTCCTGGGCTCCGTTGCGCTCCTCCTAGGCCCCGTAACGCCCCTCCTGTGCCTCGTCGCGCCCCCCCTGGGCTCCGTAGCACCCCTCCTGGGCCCCGTCGCGCCCCTCCCAGGCCCCGTAGCGCCCCTCCTGGGCCCCGTCGCGCCCCTCCCAGGCCCCGTAGCGCCCCTCCTGGGCCCCGTCGCGCCCCTCCCAGGCCCAGTAGCGCCCCTCCTGGGCCCCGTCGCGCCCCTCCTGGGCCCCGTAGCGCCCCTCCTGGGCCCCGTCGCGCCCCTCCCAGGCCCAGTAGCGCCCCTCCTGGGCCCCGTCGCGCCCCTCCTGGGCCCCGTAGCGCCCCTCCTGGGCCCCGTCGCGCCCCTCTCAGGCCCCGTAGTGCCCCTCCTGGGCCCCGTCGCGCCCCTCCCAGGCCCCGTAGCGCCCCTCCTGGGCCCCGTCGCGCCCCTCCTAGGCCCCGTAGCGCCCCTCCTGGGCCCCGTCGCGCCCCTCCCAGGCCCCGTCGCGCCCCTCCTGGGCCCAGTAGTGCCCCTCCTGGGCCCCGTCGCGCCCCTCCCAGGCCCCGTAACGCCCCTCCTGGGCCCCGTAGTGCCCCTCCTGGGCCCCGTCGCGCCCTTCTGGGTCCTGTAGCGCCCCTCCTGGGACCCGTCGCGCCCCTCCCAGGCCCCGTCGCGCCCCTCCTGGGCCCCGTCGCGCCCCTCCTGGGCCCCGTCGCGCCCCTCCTGGGCCCCCGTCGCGCCCCTCCGGCCCCGTCGCACCAGCCCGGCCCCGTCGCACCAGCCCGGCCCCGTCCGCTCGCCCGGCCCCGTCGCACCAGCCCGGCCCCGTCGCATCCTGCCCGGCCCCGTCGCGCCGCCCGGCCCCGTCGCACCAGCCCGGCCCCGTCGCGCCCGCCCGGCCCCGTCGCACTGGCCCGGCCCTGTCGCCCCCGCCCGGCCTCGTCGCCCCTGCCCGGCCCCATCGCGCTCGCCCGGCCCCGTCGCCCCGGCCCGGCCCTGTCGCACCAGCCCGGCCCCGTCGCGCCCGCCCGGCCCCGTCGCGCCCGCCCGGCCTCGTCGTCCTCGCCCGGCCCGGTCGCACCTGCCCGGCCCCGCTGACCCGGCCCCGTCCTCCTCACTGGTACGGTTCCCCCCCCCCACCCCGCCCTGCACTGCCGTGCCCTGCACTGCCCCGCACCGTACTGCCCCGCACCACACTGTCCTGCCTTACACAGCGCTGCATCGCACTGCCCCGCACTGTACCGCACTGCACCGCGCTGTACCGCACTGCACTGCACTGCACTGCCCTGCACCGCACTGGACTGTTCCTGATGGCGGCGGAGCTTCGCTTCGACGTTGAAGGTCAGCCCCTAGAGTTCGAGGCGTGGCTTGCCGACCTCCGCCGCCAACTCACTGGCCAGCGGCAGGATGGTGAACCGCTTTCCGCACACCTTGACGGTACGCTCCCCTGCCCAGACCCCCCTGCTATTCTGCCCGCTGACCCCACACCCACAGAGCGTGAGTCTACTGCTGCCACTGCCCGTGCGCGCTCTGTCTGGCTTTCTCGCGATGCTGTCGCCCAGCTTGCCATTAGCAACGCCCTCCCCCCGTCCGAGCGTCCTCGCTTTAGGTCCCTCACTACTGCTCAGGCCTACTTAGATGCCGTCATCAAGCGCTATTCCACCCCTCCGGCTGCCTCGGTGGGTCGCCTGATCCTCCCGATGCTCTTTCCTGACCTTGCTTCTTTCCCCACTGTCTCTGACCTCGCTGCCCACCTGCGCTCGATAGATAAGACCTGGCGTGCAGCCTGCACTGATGCACAGCTTAGAGCCCACCAGCCGCCCATTACCTCTACCCTCTACCTGCTTGCCACCCGCCTCCCTGACCGCCTTGCTGTCGCCCGCGACCGCTTCCTTAGCATTCACCCCGCAGACCTCACCCTCACTGACTTTGTAGACACCCTGACTGTGATAGAGACCCGTCACCGCTCCATCGCCCAGGCGAGCGGTGTCGTGCCAGTCCCTATCTTTCAGGGTTGTGCCCCCGCCCAGTGTACCTTCTCCGACGGCTCTGTTGAGTGGCTGAGACTGCTGCTGCAGCGCAGTTTCGTTCGGGGAAGGGCCGCCGCCCCAAGGCTGGGCGCGGCGGCGGCGGCGGCGGGGGTGCGGGAGGGGGTAGTGGTGGGGTTGGGTCGTCTGGTGCTGGAGCGGACGAGGGGACCCTGCCCAGTCCAGCTGAGCCGCCGCCCTTGCAGTTGCAGCAGCCGCCGCAGTCGCAGCCTTCGCAGCAGCCGCAGCAGCAGTCGCAGACGCGGCAGACGAGTGTCCTCCCGCCCGGGTGGCCCGGCGCTGGCGGTGGCCGGGCGCGTGGTGGTGTGCCGAGTGGTGGCTCTGGTGGCGGGCGTTGTCAGTACCAGATCCAGACCGGTCCTCGCCGCAGTTTCGTTTGCGGTAGGCTCGGTCACTCCACTCCTCGCTGTTTTCGTCGCCTGGACGACCTCTTTCGTCAGCGCTTCGGCCCGTCGCCAGACCTCCCGGACTGGCACAGTTTGCTTAGTCGTAAGATTCAGATTTTTGATATGGACATGGATGCCATTGTTGCTGCTCTGCATGTGATGTATGCTGATGACTCTAGTGTGCTTCCCGCTTATTACTCACTGTTGCCTAGTGTAGGTGTGCCTAGCTTAGCCTCCCCTGCTGCGTCAGGCGTAGGATCCCCTGCTTTGTGTAGTCTTGGTGCTTCCGCCGTCGTTCCATTGCCAGACGCCTCTGCTTCGCTTTCCTTCACCTTGGACTCTGGCGCTTCTCGGTGTTTCTTCCGCGACTCCACCACCCTGACGCCGCTTCCTGTCCCACCTGCCGTCTCTCTTGCTGACCCCTCCGGCGGTCCGGTAGTCGCCCGCAGTTCCACCACCCTTCCCTGTCCGGCGGTTCCTTCGGGCACTCTCACAGGTCTGCATATCCCCTCGTTCTCCAGGAACTTAGTTGGTGTCGGCTGCCTCCAGGACCTTGGCGTCACCACTACGTTCCCTGGTCACGAGCGGTATGCTGTCTGTACCGAGGCCGCCACCGGTGCCCCCCTGTCCACGTTCCCCCGGGACCCGGTGTCCGGCCTGTTCACTCTGGACACCGTGACCCCCTCGTCTGGGGCGCCTCCTCAGGTGGCTGCATCTACCCAGGTTGCTGCTGCCTGCTCCTGTCGGTCCCTCACTCACCCGACTCTCCTTTGGCACCACCGCCTAGGTCACCCTGCGCTCCCGCGTCTGCGTCACATGTCCCAGCACGGTCTTGTCCTTCGTCTCCCAGGTTCCCTCCCCGCGTTTCCCTCCTCCCCAGCCCCACCTTGCACGCCTTGTGTCGAGGGTCGGCTTCGCCGTGCCCCTCACTCCTCCTCGTTTCCCCCTACCGCCGCGCCGCTGCAGACCCTGCACCTGGACGTCTGGGGCCCCGCCCCCGTCCCTGGGCCGCGTCGAGAGCGCTACTTCCTTGTGCTTGTCGACGACTTCACTCGTTACACCACAGTCTTTCCCCTGGAGCGCAAGGCCGACGTGCCTGGCGCTCTCATCCCCTGGCTTGTCTCTGCGCGTGTCCACCGCGGTCTCCCTGTCTTGCGTCTTCACTCCGACCGTGGTGGCGAGTTTGCCTCAGGTGTCCTTGGTCGCTTTTGTCGTGCGGAGGGCATCACCCAGACCTTCACCCTACCGGACTCCCCACAGCAGAATGGGGTCGCTAAGCGACGCATCGGTTTGGTCATGGAGGTGGCTCGCACCTCCATGATCCATGCCGGTGCACCCCATTTTCTGTGGCCGTTCGCTGTGCGCTACGCTTCTCACCAGCTTAACTTGTGGCCGCACCCTCAGCAGCCGCAGGTTTCGCCGACTCGTCTTTGGACTGGGTCTCCTGGTGACGCGTCTGCGTTCCACGTCTGGGGCTGCCTTGCTCACGTCCGTGCCTCCGGCACGGACAAGCTCACTGCCCGCACCCTTCCCTGCGTCTTCCTCGGTTTTCCCCTTGACGCGTCCGACTGGCACTTTTACCACCCGCCGTCTCACCGCTTCTTTCACTCTCGTGACGTCACCTTTGACGAGTCCGTCTCCTACTACCGTCGCTTCCCCCACCGTGGTCCCCCGGTTACCCCCCCCCTGTTCCTGGTCACTCCTTCCCGGGTAGTCCCTGTCCCTCCTCCTCCTCCTCCCCGTCCAGCCCCCTCTGGTGTGTTCCACGTCACCCCCCTTCCGTCGGTGGACCCGGTTGAGGAGTCTTCTGACTCTGGTGGCCCTCCTGTTCAGTCCTCGCCGGCCGCCCCTCCCCTGGCGTCCCCTCCCCAGTCCCCCCCTCCACCGCCACTGCCGCCGCTGCAGCCGTCGTTGTCGCTGCCGCCGCCGCCGCCGCCGTCGCAGCACCCGTTCGCTGACTCTGGGGGTGCTCGTCCCGGTAGCCCTGGGGGTGGTCCCTCTGGGGGTGCTGGTGTGGAGAGTGCCGGTGGTAGCCGAGGAGCAGCTTGCGGTCCCGGTGTCGCCGTTGTGCCGCCGCAGCAGCAGTCCCCGCCGGTGTCAGCCCTTCGCCTGCTCGGCCTTCCGTCCCCCGACCCTGCGTCGGTTCCTCCCCGGCCGTCTCCTCCTCTTCCTGTCTACGGCCCTGTCTTCCCTCCGCCGGACTCGTCCCCGGCCCGTCTCCCCCCTCGTTCCCCTCCTGTGTCCCCTCCTCTGTCTCCAGACCCGACTC